ATCTTAATAAACAAGAAAATACCTTTTGAGCATTTTTTTAGGCGCGGAAACCACTTCAAATAACAAAAACATACGGAACTATATTCTCAAAACGCGGAGCACATTTCTTGCCGAGGAAAAATTGCGGAGTGATATGGACCGCGGGTACTACTTTCTCTAGGGCACCATTTGTGTTGCCAGCTGAACCTAAAAACGTGTTGCATAGTGTTTGAAAGACTAATTATTTATATGCTTTATAGTGACTGTAGGAAAAATATAATGTGTAACACGAGTGAAAAAGGCCTTTGCTGCACTCGAGATCATTCCACACTCGCCTGCGGCTCGTGCGTAAACATTGCTCTCGTGTGCAGCAAAGTGCCACTTTCACCACTAGTTACACAAATAACTATTTCCTCTCTAGGGAGTAAAAATCAGCTGTTGTAAACAGTTGTAAATTTCGATTGTGGCTATTGTATCGATCGAAATTATTTATCGATTGATCTATTAGGTAAGGTTTTAGCCTAATGTTATCGATTGTTCGACATATCGATGGTATAATGTACACAATCGTAATAGACGAAATGATTGAATCACTTACCAAACAGCTTACACGGGAGCGATTTTAATGTTTAGATTTAAAAGTTTTATGAGTTTTTCCCATTCGTAGGACATTTTAAAACGTCTCAAAAGCTTTTCCCTATAGGATAAAGTGTGTAACAGAAAGTCTGGCAATACCCAGTCTGATTTGAAATAAGCACACGTACAAGCATTGACTATATATATAGCCAATGGTACAAGTCATTGCACTTTCATTACTACTAGAGGACCCGTGGTAGAAAACGCGAACAAAAATATGTAATGTACAGACTTCTCTATTCTCACCCCACGCTGTAAATAAAACATGTGATTTTCTTCCATTTGTTTTGATTTTCTGTTTATTTTCCGTTGTTATTTCGTCACCATCATGGCAACCCATAAGGCCCATGTTTTTTTTTAATTTAAAATAGATTTTTTGCTTATTTTTGAACCTATTTTAATTTATAAAGGGATTCTGCACATACAGGAAAATGTATTTCTAACAGTATCAATACGCAGATTTTCTTTGGGATGCACACAAGTTGAGATAAAAGGTTTCCAAGCAACATGCTTGATTTAATATCTGATATTGTAGCTAAAACCAGACATAGTTTAGACTGTGTTTTGTCAGCCATGCAGATTCTCCTCACGTTGGCTTTTCCCAACCTGTAGACCCATTTGGTGGTATTGCGGATGTATTTTGTATTGCGCAGGTCAGTAACGCCGTATTGACTTCTCCCCCCCCCCTACATTTCATCCCTTCGATGCAATTTTGTTGATGTGGTTGGGGGGGGAGAGGGGGGAATTGAATGGAAAACCCAAGTAAGCAAAACGTCAGTTTTCTCTTTATAATTATTAACTGTACACCAGACTCGTTTAAAGCTGATTTTGGGGGTGGAGAAAAGGAGTGGGGATACGAAAAGGTTAAATATGACAAAACGTAGGTCTTAGGTTAGTATTATGGTTATAGCATAGAATAAATAATCAATATAGTGTTTATTTATGCTATGGTTAGAGCACATATTAAATTCCGAAAAAAGGTCAAAATTTTAAAAAAAATTAGCATTATCTAAGGTTGAATAGATGGAGATACGAAACAAAATTGTATTACAAAAGTTAAGCTTGTATATGGAACACTAAGCTCTCTCAGTTTTTTTTATTAGATCAAAAGTTAATACCCAAGAAGTCTTCAAAAAGGCCTTTTTTGGATTTACAAAAGTGTTTTATTTTGACTCTTTTTAGGTGGGTTTAAATTTGAAAATGCCACTATTGTGAGTTTTCTGGATTATTCGGGACCGAAACCTAATACTCGTGCCAAATATCAGATCCCTAGCTCTTCTTGAAGTACGTTACTTCAAGAACCTGATACCTGATGAGTCAGTGATTGAGTGATTAAACATGTCTGTGGCTGTGTGTTTAATTGAAAGATTGTATGTATCATCTATGTAACAAAATGATTCCGTAAAATTTTTCGTCCTTGACTAATATCAAGATAAACTAACTTTCGATAACATGTAGGTGTTGAATAATTTTGAAAAAAATAAACATAAAAGTAGGAAAACATATAATTGGTGGGTACACATTTGCAAACCTTTTGAAACAAACAGTGCCAATAAATAATATATATGTAAATCAAGGTACATTACCATTAGTAAAACCTGCTGAAAAAATACAAACAAGAAAGAAAGATAAAGCAGGCTTGTGAACTAATTCAAATATTTGTTGATTTCCAAATTTTTATCGAAGAAAATATCATAGCAAAAGAGGTACGCCAATAACAAAAGCACAGTACCTGTAAACGCTTACAAATATCTTGCGGATAACGATTTCCACTGATTTCACGTAATATACCTACACACACGGTTGTACTACATCGCGAAATCATGAATGAAAGGCTGATGACGTCATTGGAATATTCCGCACCAAAACGACTTCACTCGGGTTCACCAAGGTTGGCAAACTTGTTTGACAACAATGATTCTCGCGATCAGCTGTTCAGCTGTTCTACTCTCACCTGTCTCACATTCCCCCATTCTCATCTGTTCTCCGTTCCTCAGACGAATGAGTCACTTTTGGACGTCTGGAGTCCCGACTTTTTACAATTCCCGTGATTTTCCATGGATGATTGCAAGTCCCGGTCCCGATATATACTCTGCACTTCAATTTGCACTTTCAGTCCATTTTGAAGTTTCAGAGTGATAAGTGCGACGGAAGAACTTCGTTGATGTTTTTGGTATCCTGTACGTCTTTCAACCGTAGTCTCTTCGATAGTCGACAACAGAGATACAGTTTTTTTCGTGTTTTATTGGATTTTTGTATCAATTGCTAGGCAATATTGTGTGTAAGTTATGTTTGTTAGCTTCTGTTTTATTGAAAATATTTTAGGTTATTGTTTAAATTATTTTTTGGAAATTTAAAATAGCTAGTAGATTACTTAAAATTTTATTAACTATCATAAAGCAACTTGAGTGTGTAAAAATAATAGTATAAATTTGTTTTGGAAATTCTTAAGAACAATTAATTTAAGCCGTAATAAAACATATAAAATTGAATACCTAGCTTTGGTACCCTTTTATAATTCTTTATAATAGGACGTAATAAAACTAGCTTTTGAGTTTTTATCTCCAATTTGTATTTATTTTTTACCCTATTATGTTTTTGAATCTCTTGTTCATAACAAAATTTTATTTTATCATAACTATATTACATTATTAGTACTATTGCACTATATATTTTTGTACTTACATAAGAAATGCATTGTATAGTAAAAATAATCTTTAAATTAGGATTTTATATGATCTGTTATTGTATACTTCCATGGATTAGATTATATATATTTGTTGTATATTTTTATGTAATTCTTATGAAAATAAATCAACTTGTCTTTTGAAATTGATTGTATGTAATCCTATCAACGATACAGTAAAGTGGTCTTTACAGCCCTAATGTCGGGAAAGAAGAGTGGTATTCTAGTTTATATTTTTGAACTCAGTCATTTTTGTAAAATGAAAAAAATACCATACCAACCCTGTTAAAAATGTTTGTTTACCCCATAAATACGTTTGATAAATTTCACGTAAATACTTAAATTTAACTAAACTAAGTTAATTCGTAATTTGTTAATCGTTTCAAACTGTTATACTTGATCTTTCAACTGTAATTTTTTACATGGTCACCCATTGATTAAAACTATACTATGATTAAACTTACGTCATTAATCCACATTATAGACCGGTGGATTATTCCAAATTTATCATATCCACATTAACAAATTTCTTGTCGATTCAAACAAAACACCATCAATGTAAATATTTTTTTGTTGATTATTTATTTATAATCGAGAACAAGTTTTAAGTAATTTAATAAAACACACAATAGTTATACAAAATGTATTCTTATTGGAAAAACGTAAAATTATCCTAAAGTCACGAGAAAACGATTTAAAATACTCCTATAACATGATAAAATACTGTGAAGTACATAGTAAATAATCAATTTCCCCTAAAACCAAAGGGCAAATCGAGATTAGAAAATATGAATCAACTGTATAGCGTTATAAATTAAACGGTGCAAATTATAATAAAATATCAACACAAAATATGTAACCATTCTTGTAGATTGATTTTTAGTTCATTCAATACTGTAATTTATGTTAAACGATCTGACCAATTAATTTTTGTCTGCAAAAAAGCTTATAATTTACTATTAATATTTCTTGTATAACATGGTCGACAAATTCTAAAGAAAGGCTGTCTTGAAATGTATTTAAATTATAAGTATCCGTGAATACAAGAGTACTTACCCCATATATTTGAACATTTGACAATTCTAGATAATATTATTAGCAATTAAATAGTTTTAATAACAATTAATAATAAATATGCTCACGTAGCTTTCGAGATCCATCATGAAAAAGTTTTTGTTGAAAATATTTTATGAAAAAATAAAATAGGCCTAATACAAATAAAATTATATAAAATAACAATAAATAATAAAAAATAATAACAAAAAAAATTATAATTTTTTTTAGCATCAATCAACGTTTTTCCATAATTAAATATAAATCGTAAAAAACTATTAGTGTTTAATAATAAGATTAAATTTTCTTGTTTAATTCCGATAAGTCACAAACTATCTTTGACCATTACATTTTCCATAGCTAAACGCCAATGAGATCTACAAACCTGGGAAAGGTTTACTTTTGCGCTCTGATTCTAAAACACAACAATGTTATTTTAATGTAAAAGATAATAAGTTTACTATTTATCTACTGAAAAAGTCATGAAAGTGTTTGGCTAGAATCAATGCCTAAACGGATTAAAATCAGAATACAGAAGTTTTTATTATAATTAAATCACTCATTATTTGTTTGAAAATACGTAGGCCTATACGTTTTTTAAGCAATATAGCATGATATTTTGACTAATAGTGCCATTTTATTGCAGATGTCTACCCATTGCTAGAACATGTGCCCAAACGACAACCCCGCCGGGCGACCGCCCCACCTTCCACAGAGGTATGTAAACCTTCATGTAACAATAAACTAAACATTAAATAAACATCAGCAAACATACACACACTTTCTCCCATTAGCTTGTCAAGAGCCCTTATAATGGGGGCTTGGTGGGAGTTACTATGATATTTTATCGGAAAAATCACAAAAATTGCAATAACCTTCGAACCATGGTTTTTATAGCATGGTGATCGTACCATTTTGTTTAAGAGTTTAAAGGTCCACAGTTTACTAAATTTTAATTAAAATTGTTCAAGCCGTTTTTGTAAATAAGAGTTTTCTTTATTTTATGCGTTTTTACTACGCGAAAATCACCATAAAAATCCAAATTCTGTATCCACAGACCAAATCTCGTAATCGGGTCACAGGTATCACATTCGCACACAGACATAACTTCAGACAACTTTTTCGGGCTCAAGGGGAGCCCGAAACTGATATTTACTCCTACACGCCCAAAAATACGACTCAAAATAGTACTTTGTCCTATTGCTATGTATAGGGGGAGAAAGTAAAAATTGATTATCTTAAAACGGACAAAGATTATTATTATTATTATTCACAAAACATATAAACACTAATATTGTTTAGTGCACTAGTAGTCTCGTAATATATTTATTGCACTTCCCTTGGGTAAAACAGTATTTTACCATAGACTAACCAACACAAGGGTTTATTTTTTATCTATGATTTTACCTTCCCAGTTAAATAAATATCCGCCGTGAGTGTGTGTACGGATGTTTAAAAATTTTACAAATATTTTTAAAAAATCGCGACTTTAAAGAAAATGAATATGTTTCCCAATAAATGCATCGGTTGATAACGAAAATGCTATTAGCATTTTTATAGGCTACCGGTGGCCAGAATTTGTTTAGTTAAGCTGTAGAGGCTAACTATCTATGAGAGTAACGTTAGATGACCTAAGAACACCGTATATGTAATGTATATTAATTTTGTTAAACCGATAACATACTGCACGTCCCATTAAAATTGTCATTTAACTCGTCAAATAACAATTTTCACCTACTAGGTCTAATCTGTTATCACATTGATTGAAGATATATTTATTTAGTCAGTGATCCTAGATAAACATATGACACACACTCACGCCGTATCGCGAAGTGACTCACGCAAGATGGCGCAAAATGCAAAACCTTTCATTCAGTTGACTGACGCGCAAGATAACGATTGGAGATCGCAAACTGAAATGGAAAATTTACGTTACCGGTATCGCAAAAAAGTGACAAAGTGTAAGATGTTCCTTACTGGTGTAAAGTGCAAACCTAAGAGGTAACTAATTTTTATCGAAGTTTAGTAAATAGTCCCGCCGACTTTGAATAGTGCAAATATGTATGTTAATGTTAATCTCATTCATTGTAAAATATGAATAATTGAGTGTTTCGTGCTGGTGAAGTTCAGTGCGCTAATGTCGACTAAATGTCATACTTTTAGTTTAGGCAGATGTTAACGATTTGTGGTTCACTCTTTGAGTTTGGTTATAGTTTCTTTCGAATTACATCTATTTACTTTGTTAAAATTAGACTAAAATAAAAAAAATGAACAAAGCACCCTTTGAATACATTACGAACTAATTTTAATGTTGTCTTCAACTAATTAACTAGAATAAAGGAATAAAAGGATGCTATTTATTGTATGGTGAAATATTTATTCAACAGTACCTAGATTAGTCATGAAGAGACAGTATAGTCCAGGCGCTGAGGGGGTTTGAGCATGCATAAAAGTGTAACGAAATTTGACTTTTAATTGTTGCTATGGGTACCTAGTAGATAAAGAAAATCGATGTTGTCGCATTTCTAGGTGGTTAATAACATGGGGTGGGGTGAAGTTGGGGGGCCGCCCGGGGGGCCGCCGCGCACAAAATAGCTTATATCTCGAGAACCAAAAGTCATATGAATACGTTAGACATGTCAAACTGTGCAGAAAAATGCATTCTACAAATAGATTATGTAGTAGTTTCACGGAAATTGACGAGAAGTTACTAAAAATTATATTTTTTAAATTTACGTTAAGTATAATCAGGAGTATAATGGTTTTTGTTGTTGTTTAGAACCACTAATTTTTTAATTGACAACTTTTGAGAGTAGTACACAATAGGTAAATAGTACTTCTGTATAATGAAACTATTGCGGTACATAACTTAACAGCTATACAATCCTCATATCCAATAAACCTAACACAAACAAAGGCGCAAAACGCGTAGCGGTCATTGTTCCTGCTGCCGTAACTATTAATGGCGAGTACAGTTCAAGCTGAGACTTATATTATACTTTTAGAAAGATGGAGATTCTGAGGATTCATTTTCATATATATATAAAATAGTATTGAGCGACCATTATGTAGCGGGAAATATAGTTTGTAAAAGAAGAGAGTTTAAAATATATTTTGGTGGTGGATCGTTTCCATCACCATCTGAAACTGCAATAAATTCCCTACAATTTATACATCTCCGAATCTGAGGTTGGTTATAACAATTTTATATAGTTTTGAAAAGGTCATTAAAATTATGTTTTCGTAAAAAAATGTTAACATTTCACATTCTGACGTAAATTACTCAGGAAATTTCGATTTCAACTACATTTAACTATACATTTTTAGAAAGAGCTTTTACTCTTAAATTATGCAGTGTAACAAGGCTACAGATACAAGCTAGGAATACAATGGAAACTCCATGTACAGTATCTAAACTTAAATTTATTTCATTACAATACAAAATTGATGGTAAAAGAAAAGAAACTAAGGGTTCACAATAAAAGTTTACAAAGGGTGGCAAATGAATTTACTAAATTAAGCTTTAGGCTAGGCCTATTACAATAGTTCTAATTTAGGTTGAGGGGTTATATTGCATGGATCTTTATCTCAGGTGCGGTGATCGAGCGGCGTTTGAATTTAATCTTGTGATTACATATAGCCTAATTAAATTTTGTTTTGAAATATAAATTATGTTCGAATTATTTTCTGAAAGGTTAATTAATTTATGTTCTATATAAGCTTCTATTAGTTTCTTGACTTTTAAATTCTGGTACAAAAGTTCAAAAGTTAGGCTTAAAAGTGTTGTAATGGCTTCAATCCAAGGAAAGAAAATGTCTACTGGAGTGATCTCACCAAAATTGATGTCTTCTTCACAGTTAAATTTCTTGATGTTGTAGTTATTAATGTTTGTAACAAGGACGGATCTTCTTTAATCAAATTTCACTAATTTATTCCAAATATATGCACTAAAAAAAAATTTGTATTAAAATATGCAGTTTACAATTTATATCTTCATACTAGCTCAGCACTCTTAGAAGTGAGGAAGGTTTGATGCATTGTTGCATTCACATATGTCAATGCTGACTTTATCACGGAAAATTGTAGGCCACTGTTCACACATATATTATAACAATTTTCATTTGCCATAGAGCTAAATTTGAATTTTGACAAGTTATTTAAGTAAAATTATATTGAAATTGAAGCAATTTTGTTACAAAAAGTTATAGGTTATTATATATTTACATGAAATAAGGTTATTTGAAAATGTTCTATATTATAATGTATTGAATCAATTACCTATTGGTCTGTTTGGCCATATATTATACAAGGTTTGATAAAGAGAGATGGATTGACATATTTATAAAAGTAAAAACATGTGGTAAAAATTAAATTATTCTATTGAAAATTTTTGTCAAAATACTAAATTGTTACAGCAGTATAATATTTATTTACTGTTGATGCAATAAATTTATTTCTCATACAACAATTAAATACAATTTGGTAATTAAAATAGTTTGGTAGTTTTTTATAATTTTATTTTTATGCGTATTAAAAAAAACATTGATATTTCTACGTAAGGAATCATATTTTACACAACCTTAACATTTGGATAATATGGATAAAAACGCTATTTTTATGATTTTTGCGGGTTGATTTAGACATTTCTAAGTTGAATAATCCAAAAATTTGCAAACCTCTTGCTACTACGCCTAAAAGCATTGCTGAAAATATATATATTTTTATATTATTATATTCTACATTTATCACTGAAACATAATACTGTATAATAGATATCTACTTATATGGGCATGTAACTGTTCTCTGGTGAATTATATGTTACCACTACAAAAGGGCCAAAATATAACCACCACTGGTACCCAGATAGGGTCAAGGATTGAGAGATAAGAAGTAAAATTATAATGCTTCGAACTTCAACTATAACTTCAGCTGTTCAGGTCAATTTAATTGTTAACGATTGGTGCGATGATTCGTTGCATTACTGTCAGAGACAATGAGGGGTAAAGAAAAAATAACCTCTCTTTTTAAGTTTTGAGTAGTGGTTTTTGGTAATTAAAATACTGTTACACAACTCGCGTAAATAGTGTTAACGACACTCGTAGAAGTTTTTAAGGCACTCGCCAAGGCTTGTATTTAACATTTTCTACTCGTATCATAATTTTATATCATAATATCATAATCGTAATATAATTTTTAGTAACTTCTTGTCAATTTCTGTGAAACTACTACATAATCTATTTGTAGAATGTATTTTTCTGCACAGTTTGACGTGTCTAACGTATTCATAAGACTTTTGGTTCACGAGATATAAGCTATTTTGTGCGCGGCGGCCCCCCGGGCGGCCCCCCAACTTCACCCCCCCCCCCATGTTATTAACCACCTAGAAATGCGACAACATCGATTTTCTTTATCTACTAGGTACCCATAGCAACAATCAAAAGTCAAATTTCGTTACACTTTTATGCATGCTCAAACCCCCTCAGCGCCTCGACTAGTACAAATTCCATTTCGATGTAGAAGTTATAGCCGATAATAACCTGTTTATTCATCGACCGTAGCCTCCTAGTAGGCTGCAGCGAGACAAAAAGTGGCAACGTCGCAATGTCGGCCCACTGGAACAGCTGTTGCACTAGGAGCGTCTACACAATGTTTATGTTTCCATGGCAACAGGCCGGCCGTTGCGACGTTGCCACACACCAACGCCGCGGCCCGCGGTGGTTATAATCAAAGTGGGAAGGAACAACTTAATGTAGCCTTCTATGATTGTCTGCATCAACAATCTAAACAGCAAACGGCAAACTCCCACTGACTGACTTACCGACTCATTCATAACTAAATTCTCTAACTTCTCCTATGGACAGGCATCAGAGTGTTGTATTTAATCACATTTGAAATTGAATATACGTCAGTCGTAACTTTTGATGTTATTTATAATTGTTTGGTTACTTTTCCCTGAGTTAAACCTTTTGATTCTTACCATAGTTAACACCACGAAAAGTAACAGTGTGTTTTTATTATGATATGGACTATTATATATTGAGTATAAATGTCCTTTTATTGTTAAAATCCTTTAATTTACTTTGCATGTATGCGTTTTTCAATCCTACTATTTTGTAGTTCAGTTTTCTATATTAAAATAAATGAAAATTAAATCTGACACACTTTTTCTCTGATTAGCTTATTAACAACCCATTTGTAAGAGGTGGGAGTAACATTGATATTTTAATGGGTAAATTCACAAAATTAACTTTTGAACCGAGTTTTTTTACAGTAATGGGGGTCGTACCGTTTAAGAGTTAACAATAAAAATTAACGAACAATATTTTCTCTGGGTTTTCTCCTTGTCATAACTTGGCGTTATTTTAAGTTTTTTTTTTTAAATTTTGTCTATTAACTGTGATTTCATTACGTTCCAGGTTGGACTCGCTGTTTGACAATGAGGCAGGCAGTGACGTGACTTTCCTGGTGGGTCCGGAGCCGGAGACCTGGAGGTTCCCAGGACATCGGGGTATCCTATCGGAGGCCAACCCTGTGTTCCGGGCCATGCTGCAGGGACCACTGGCTGACCATGGGCCGACCGTGGCTATTCAGGATGTGGATGGCAAGGCCTTTGACCTGCTTCTCAGGTAAAACACAAATGCTTCTATGGAAAAGAAGTTCAAACATGTTAACTCTTCTATTCATAAAGTATAATCTGATGTATAACAAGATGATCGAATTTTGGTCTCCTCACACACAAGTTAAATGCCATGGAAAATGCTAACTACAATACTATACTATAACTATAATACTAACTACATGCACCTTTGTTTTCTACTCCTGGGTGGGTATAGCCAGTTGAAAAGGAAGGGGTGGTTTTTTAATAATCTTATGGGCTGCTACAACTGTGGGTTGGAGGTAACTGAGGACTGGAAACTAAAACTTACATTTTTAGGACAAGTTGGAGGCATAATGAAGAGTCAAATTCCAACCTCATTATGTCTACTAATTACTTTTAAATATTTTTACACATACTCCAATCCCAATGGGAATGAGCTTGCAACTCCCGACCATCGATGTGGGAGTTATTATACATCGATGCTCCCGACAGCCTCTCTGGATTATCTGTCTCCGGTAGTTTCCTTATAAACTAGCGTACTTTGGAATGAATAGATTAAAGAACATTAATACTTACATTGCAATCTTTACCATCAAGTTTTGGTTGATAGTTATTTGGGATTTTATTCAATATAGTATGTTTAGAGTATTATTCTTGCATAACAGGGGTTTTTTTCAAAAACGGAACTGCATTATTTTTTCAAAAGTACATTTTTTACACAAATATAAAAAATATGTTGGGAGATCTACTAAAATCCCTCCTTATTTGGTAAAATGTGATACTTAGACTAGAGGGAAGGATAAATAACAAAGTATTTTACCACCTAAGGAAAGAGGCATTTGACATCTTAACTCATCATGAGTCAAACAAAATCAACAGATATTTATTTTTCTATTTATTGCGGTCAGTTATGATGGTGTAGGATTTTTGTGGTGTTTGTCAACTATAAAAAAAACTACAAATTTGCTTTCAAATAATTTATCCAATTAAATTTTAATGCAAGCTATCCTAATCCAGATGTTGAGCTTAACCTAACTGGTACTGATTACAGGTTTCTCTACAGAGAAGACGTGGTGCTAGGTTCGATCCCCACAGCTCTGGCCACATTGTACGCGGCACACAAGTACCTGTGCGCAGGACTGGTGCGTTCCTGCGTTCTGTACCTCAACAGCCACCTGAGTACGCAGAACGTCCTGCAGGTGTACCAACACATCAGAGTGTACTGCAGTCATGAGACGAGAGATCTCGGCTTGTGGATAGCTTCTGCGCCTCCTCTACCCCCACACGAGGCCCCGTCGTCGTACCAGGTGTGTAGTCTCGTTTAAATCTCATTGTAATAAACTCACAAAACTCTCAAAAGTTTAATTAAAAGGTGTCAGCAATCCAATGCATACTTCCTCTTTTATAGATTTTTATTATACAACTTAAGATTTGATTAAGAAACTATGGAATATAAAATTAATTTGACACAGTATTTTCATTGTGTATTGGTTTTTAAGTTTTAAATATACCTACTAAAAATGTATTCCATTCCTCTCAATTAGTTTAGAATAAGAGTATATATTCAATGGATAATCCCAACTCAACATCAAAGATCACATAAAGTCATCAAATGTAATGAGCCTGCAGAAATCATTCAAGTGAAAGTTTCACCTTTAATTCATTATTTGTCAATGTAGAAATCATTTAGTTTCACATCTACGTTGTTCTTAGTCTTTACAATGGTGTAAATGTAGATAATCATTTGAACGTTTACCATATGTCATTTTGATGTTTTAGGTAGGGGTAGACAAGGACCCCAATGACAACTTGGACACTATGGGCTGCTTGTGCTCCTCCTTACTACACAATTGTCTGCACTACATCGACTCACATGCTGACCAGGTATGCTACCTAAATACGGACACTCATTAGCATTTATACCCAGAAAGAACCAAGGTGTCCAAAAAATAATAAGAAAATTAGCCAACCTAATAAAAAATAGTTGGAAATTTACCTTAATTGTCTTAGGTGTTTATCAAGGTTGGTACTTACCCAAACTTGAGACTGTTAGTTATGAATTCACAGAGAAGTTAGGTTCAGAGGAAACACCCTTATGGGACAATAGTGCAATTTCAGCTCTAGTGCCAGAAATATACTTGTGACAAGCAAGGAAGAGCCTGAGAGTGATAAGCACTGTGCGGAAATTCCTATCGCACAGTCCACAGGGTCCTCCTCCACCGTGAGCTTTTTTGTAGTAGTACATTGGGCGAGAGGGTGTGGTGTTGGACTTTGCCCTAGACATCAACACTTGTACTAGACACCACTTAAGTGTACCATTGAATGTTTCCTCTGTACCTTACTTCTCTATGGAATTAAAAATAGTTGGTCGCATATTGACTCAAAGAATTAAAGCGCAATAAATATAAATTCAAGAATCTTCTTTTCATGTTGACCTAATATATCTAAGATGTTGATTTTCCACTTGTCCACACGTTTGCCTAGGTAAGGCATTCTTTTGAAACAGTACACATGAAAACAACTCTCATTTTTTGCAGTATTTGTGAATAAAAGCAGAACTGTAGTGTCTGGAAGAATAATAATTTTCTTATTTGCTTCAATTATTAACCTAAAGTTGTGTTAAGATCATGCCTATTAAGGAGTGGTTTTATTGAGTCTCTTGATAGAAACAGTAATATTTTTATTACTATATTATTACACGTATTATTTTTATTACACGTACTACCCGTTACGTGTGCGGTTAAGTCTAGACAACACAAAATATTTCTATAGAATTTTACATTTTTCCAAATAATTGTAAATCTAGTTTTGTGCAAAAAAATTTGACCCAGCCCACTTTAAAAATCAATAGTGACAACAATATGATCTCATTGGCAACGTTTGTGTCAGGTGCTTGCGGACGAGAGTGTGGAGGATCTAACAGCAGACGCCCTGAGAGACATCGCCCTACGAGACAGTCTCAACATCTCAGACGAGATCGTGTTGTTCAACGCTCTGGAACGATGGTGTAATCGAGAGTGCAAACGCGGACAGTTGCAGCTCACAGCGGAAAACCGAAGAAGCGTTCTCGGTTACGACCTTCTCTTTGCTCCTCGCTACCGACTGATGACGTCACATCAGTTCCTCAGTGGGCCCATGCAGTCCGGCCTGCTGGACCAGACTGAGTCCAACGTACTAATGGCGTACATCCTCAACGCCCCGACCAAACCGTCGGCACCCTCCATCTCACCCGAGACTCTGGAGAGGTTGAATACCTCGCGACGGAAGCCCTACTCGTCACCTATCAACCTCACCTCTAAAAGCAAAAAGGATAAGAGGGACAGTTCAAAAAAGAGTGACAAGAAAAAGAAACCAAAGTGCAAAGACAAAGTCAAAGAGAAGGCACTGGAATCTCCAAGTAAAAAGTGCTCGGGTTCGTGTTTTGTCGAGTACTTATTTCGTGCGCTTGTGTGTATCTTCGATTGAAGTCCTGTAAATCTGATAGTCATTAGGGTTAAAAATTCAAATTTTGTTCATTCAAGTTGAGAATTTGTTTTGAAATCAGTTTCAAGAAAATGTACAGAACCCACTGTAAAAGTTCCTTTTTTACTAGATTTTTGAACCAAACTTTTTAGTCACTAGATTGTAGAGTTTGAAATGTTTTTAGGTGAATTTTTGATAGGTGAAAATCTTCTTAGGGCCTTATATAAGTTTATAATGGTTGCTTTTATCGAATTTTTCAGGTCAGCTTTGCTGATACTTGTAAAAATTGATATTCTAACAATTTTCAAATTTTAATGCTAATGTATAAAATGTATGTAACGCAGTAGGTATTTATCAAAATGTTGCTGTGCCATGTGCTAATTAGCTTAGTAGATGTAGTTTAGTCTTTAGAGCGCTTTTTGTGATATCTAAATTAATCAATCCCCAAAAGAAGTGGTTCAAAGTCAATATTCATGCTCTGAATTTGGAATTGATGACAAGAATTGAGATTTTCTAGACCCTGTACTCTTTGATCTACTTATTTTAAAAAAAAGGCAAGATAAAATATTTTTATCGGTAATATTAATCTACAAATTCCTTATCCTATATATATCATTTCCCCCTACCATAGCACTCATATTTAAGTTTTTTTGTGCATATAAACTTAACCATATATAAGTCTGATATTGTAAATAACATGTATACAGTGTAGTACATTCTATAGCTAAGTTTCAGAACAGATCAGTTACCAAATCCAAAAGATCGAAGTAACATGATTATACTTTGGTGGATAAGGATGTTGTTGGGCAAAGTATTGCAAAGTGTGAAAATGTTCCTTTTGCCAAACAAAAGTTGGTTAACTGCACATAAAAATTGCAGCATTTAAGACAAGTTTTGCAAACTGAAGAACTCTTTCACACTCTGTTTTGCATTGATTAGACTAAGTGTTGGAAAGTGTATAGATCGTTAAATTTTTAAGTCTAGGCAAAAGAATTTCTTACAATGATAAGGTAATTATGTTATTTTGTCTTACTGTTGTGTGTTAAATTGTTTATAACACTTTAAAAGTGAATTGTTGAACTTTAGCTCCTACAGAGTTATTTTATTTTAACCAAAGGAGCAGGGGATTGTTGGAGGGAAGTGGATCAAATTTTAACAAAATCAGAGAAATGAAGGTTGTTTTAACACTTTTTACGGATCTCTTTGTAACACACTACTATTCCTAATTTATGTTCCTTTTATAGTTATTTTGTGACAGTTTATCAAAATTTAAAGATAGTGAAAGATTAATTTATAACATAGGTCAATTTTCTTGATAAGGCGTTTAAAGTATTAAATTAATTCATCCTCTGTTGTTTTTTTTTTCAATCATTGTTATTTGTTGATTTAGTTCAGGTAATTGAAAATGGAACTTCATATTAAACTCATTAAGAAGATACCAAAAAATTGTGATGAGTTAAAATTATCATTGTTCATGTCAAATTCGCTTTGATTAGGCTACACATAGTGTTTTTGTATACACCATTAATTTTATACAGTTTTTGAGTTTTAGACCAAAATAATGAAATCATTTAGCTTTAGTGTAATTTTATTTTTCAGCACTTTAACTTTTAAAAAACTAAATTATAAAAAAGTTGATTTTACAATTTATTTTTAAGATTATTCTAGTCATATAAATATGTGTGGTAAATTATCGTTTTATGCTTTGATGCATTTTTTGTTGAATGTGATCAAGTATAGTGACTTATTGTTATATTTTATATATTTGTTAGTTTAATACTATGTGAAAAAGAATAAATCATTTAGCTTTTGAAACTTGAGTCCAATTTTTCTACACCTTTACTGTACAAGAACCTCGATAATTCGACAACTGATAATCTGGAACTTCCATGTAATCTGGCCCCATCCCATCTACCCAGCCTACCCTGGAGGAAGACCCAGTGTCCTGGCAATAGAAACTTCTGCACATTGTGATTGCATCATCTTTGCTTCACAAGTATATTCCCCTACCGTGTACGTACACGCACACACAGCATACTAGAACTGAAAGTGCACGTCCCATAACCAAGTTTCCTCTGAAATTCCTCATAGTTTCCTCCAGAGAAGTAAGCTTTTCAGTGAAGGTTAGGTATAAAACATAAAACATGGTAGGCACATTCACAACCGTCTTATAAAAAGGTCATCACTCATTGACTACAATTTACTAAATTTGGTATAATACCTGCATTTATGTGCTCTGGTGTGTTGCAGTATGGCGACCGGTTTAAACTCACAAAGGAGTCATCTTCAGGCCAGAGTTAAGATGTCTTCTCGCTTCATTTGAAGGTCGTCAATTAACCATAATAAATAAGACACACACACACATAGTCATACACAAACATAAAGGATTATAAAAACTTAAGGTAATACTGAATATGGTTAATGGTATGGGACGTAACGTGATTGGGCAGAATGATTTCTCAATTATAAACAGAATGATAGCAACAACTTCTTTGGTGTTGGAAGTTTCTGTTTTTGAGAGGATCAGAACCTCCTGTGTTCACTCATTCATTGACATAAAATACCCCATTTAGGGGCGAGCCAAAGTTGGGGTGCCAACAAAAAAAGTTTACTGATATGTCATGTAGGGGTGTGCAGGGTTTAGTTTTCCTGGTAACCCGTTAAAAACTTATAAGGGGAGTCCATACTTTTGCCCAAAACTGTTTTATAATATTATCATAGGGCATCAGTTGAAAAGCATGGCAAAAGAAAAATAGAGGTTGCTATCTTGTTACTGAATCAGCCATTGTTTTCATCAGCCTGAGTGACCCCCACTTCAAAATATACCACCAATATCTCTTATTAACTCTTTTTAATGGGTTTTGCCAGGAAATGAAACCTAAACTCAATATTACCATCCCCACAGACAAATAGAATAAATATAGACCGACAGCCCAGTGCTGCGTTTAGCATATGTTCCATCCAGCGTCCACCTGTCTAGGAAGAGTGCCGTTGCCGTGGCCGTGTAGTTAGTTACGGCGCACAACACTGCAGCGTTTGCTGGTAGCATCATAGATAAAAGGAGTAGACTAGTAGATGCCCATAATTACATGTATAATTATAATTATACATAATTATTATGCATAATTATACACAGCACTCCTAGTGGCACATCGCGGAATCTTCCTTTGACAGTCGATATTTATTATATTTGTGTATGGTATTACCAAAAAATAAAATAAAAGTAATTGGTATGACACTTTTGCCCCGACCTGAAATGGGGGTAGGCCTATTGGGAATAGCTCATAAAAAAATAACTAAGCCCCATCAAGTGACACCTCATTTTAAAGGACAATAATTAAAAAGGGCATCGGTGAAATCTAGAAGGCCCTATATCTCAACCAGTACCAAATGGCGAGAGGTTTAAATTTCAATAACCTGAGAGACTCCGATAATATTTTATTTTATTTTACGTATCAACGGACATCTCCAATTTTATAGACTAGACATAAACGCATTTCTCTCAAATACTGTACATAAAAACAATTACATTTTTACAATAAATATACCCAGAAATATATCTATAACAAGAACAATGATGCACCATCAATACTATACTACTCCTGCCTGAGAGCCGTCACACTCAACACTGCAACAGAAGAAGTTAACAGATTCAGCGACGCTGTTGCCAGGATCTTTGAACGCGCGACGTCGTATTATTTGCTGCACAGTTGATGGGGTTGTATTGCCTCACCACACGAACAGAGGTCGCTGGATCGGGTGGATGATGGTGACTTGAACAATGAACAAGACCAGACGCATGATATCAGGAAAGTCAACCTTACCGACCAGGGGCCTATTTCATAATAATCTACAAACTAATATTATTAGTAAATCAGCTGATTGGCCAATGCAAATCTAATGGAAATTACAAATTACAAGTTACAACTTGTAGTTTATTATGAAGCAGTCCCCTGAAATTACTTTCTAGTTTATTTTTACGGTAATATTGAGTTAAGTTTTCATGGTAAAACCATTAACTATTGGATAATAGTCAAAGGTAAAACCCTCCTATATCTAAATTATCTCTATATAAGTGGATCACTCAGGCTAAAGAAAAATAAAAGTGACCACCGCCATTCAGTGACGGGTTGATAGAAACCTCTAGTTTTGCCAATATTCTTTTTAAATTATGCCCTTTAAAACGAGGTGTCACTTGACGGGGCTTTACAGTTAACATTTTTGAGCTGCCCCCAAAATTAAGTTACCCTATTTAGGTGTCCCGGACTGTCCGGGACACCTACCGGACATAATTGTGTTACCAACAAAATGTCCGGGACACCAAAATAGGGTATGCAGAGTTTGGTTTTCATAGTGTTACGCATTGAAACGTTTATAGGAGGTGTCATTTGCCCTCTGTATATTATAGCGACTTCGACCTTTGACGATAGCGTGGGGTCCCAGTTTATCGACATCCCAAAAGATCGACACTGAAATAGTCCCACTTTGTCGACAACTCAAAATGTCGACAGTGTCGGTAATATGGGATGTCTGTAAAGTGGGATGTCGGTTATGTGGGATGTCTGTTATGTGGGACGGTTGTGTAAATTTTCCCACTTTATCCCCACTTTATCGACACGCAAAATGTCGACAAGCAAAACAGATCGACAAAGAGCGGGAGATTCAAATTGAAGGTGAACAGCTCTTGCTGAACAGATCGGTTGAGTATAATGAGAGTCGTTCTTTTTTTTAACTCCGAACGACTTCTATTCACGGCGCTTGCAGTCTCCTTCAAATTTGTCAATGCTATATCAACTATCTTGTGTATATAATATGTGTTCTGCCGTTCGAAGGCTTTACAATAATTTGATATTTTTTGTCACACTTGTATTATGATTCATTATACTGTTTTTTTTTCGTGTAAGAAGGTACCTAGTTAAAATTTGCTACCTAGGCCAAACTTAGCTTGAGGATGAATATGGTATCCATCTAAAGTGTTTTCAATCATAAATTTATTTGAAATATACAGGTGTTCATTTGAAAACTTTCCATATCTCTTGTGTGCAAAGGTAAGGCGTTTAACACTTGTTTGTTCTCATTTCCCCCTAATTTGGACATGCAAAATCCAATAAAATAATTTTTAATTTTGAAAAATGCCCCAAAAGGGCCCAATTTGGGGGGTAGGGGTGCTTTTTGAGAAATTTTCAAATTTAAACATGGGTTGTGTGATACATCAATTTAAAGGTCCAATCACCCCGATCATTTTTGTGCAAAAAAATTTAATTATCTTTAACCGTATTTACAGGGTGGATCAAAACGTTTTACAAAAGGACTATGAAGTTAACTACCGTAATACCCTAACTACTGAACGGAACAGCACCAAATTTCTTTCAAATCTTATTAAACAGCCTAGAATCTATCCCAAAGGGGAAAGAATATTGACTCACCTCACTTAAGTTATGGTTAGACCAAGGAAAAGTATCACAGCAGTATGGTAATTGCCTCCAGGGTACACAACTCTGGTCTCTCTTTCTCTCTCATCTGCAGTGATGTCGATGGCAATGTCGTCCAGAAAAGTTAGTCCTCTTAACTTATTGGTTCAAGACAATATTTAAAAAAGAGACCAATTTGGGTTCAGGTTAAATTACAGCCTTTGCTCCAGGATCATCTATAAAACTAACATTGAAGTCATCAGCAATGAATGATATAATCCAAGTCTAGTCTTACACCAAATACAAACAGCTCTAGAATATTTGACAGCACTTAAGTTTACGTCCTACACTCATTCCAATGAATATATTTCTTTAATACTTTCTTTCTTATTACTTGGCGACCATACAAAGTAGGTATTTTAAGCCAAGTATGAATGGAGATGAGTGTAGGATGAGTGGAGCGATCTTGTAATCTTGTTAGTGACTAAGACCGACATTCCTTAGACACAGCTGTTAATTAATAGCCCAAACAGCTAATGGCAACTAAGGGACATACAGTTTATAGTGGAATCCGAACCACATTATTGCCTTGGTATAGGCCTATACGAATTGGTCTACTTAATTATCAGGATAGTACTGGGGAGAGTCGTAGTAAGTACTCACTCGTGCGGACGTTAATCCACACCAGGGAGTGTCGAATCCACAGTGCATGCCTATAAATATCCACAATTCGTGACCTCCTAGTAGCTGGATTACAGGACGACGCCACCCGTCCCAGTCATATTGATTATTTCATTTGATAAACTTAGGCCTAGGCCTATATCAAGTTTGGTTAGTTAGGGTAAAACCTAACCTAACTAAAGGAATGAAATATTCAAAATACGGGTAGAGTTTGTTGGCTGGGCTATGCTAATAAGTATAGATTGAAACTATCGATTCGATTAGTAAACCTTCATGTGATTTAAGTGCAGCCAAATATTTTTACATAACTTAAACAAATTCTTAAAGTTGACACTGGGTCAGTGGGAAAAAAAGACGGGTACAGTTTCTTAACTGGGCTATGCTAATATCGATTGAAACTATCGAATTGAAAATAGGGATTGATTAATAATCGACATTTTTAAATATATTTATTATCAAATTAAACTATCTTAACCTAACCTAACCAACCAAACTTGCTGATGGTGAAAAAATCGCATGAAGGTTTACTAATCGAATCGATAGTTTCAATCGATATTAGCAAAGCCCAGATGAGAAACTGTACCCAAAGAGGCTATCCTAATAGCCTAGGGATAATGCCTATTCAAACATTTGCTACAATATTGCTTGATGATCCAGAATTAGCCTACGAATAAGCTGTATCTTAGGTTCTTGTTGGTGACTTACCTAAGTTAGTGTCTCTGATAGGACTAATGTTATTAAGTTATCATGTTGATTAAGTTTTTTATCCTATTCAAATTAATTTATTTCACATTATTCCTTAAAAACTATACAGTAGTTTGTAACACTCGAGTCATCTATTTTCTTGTAAACAAGGAAAGAAATAAACAAGGTAAATATTTACAATATAAAAGTTTTTAGTCAATAAAGGTCGATGTCCATCGGATTCGGAATTCGGAATCATTGCGACTCGTGAGTTGAGGAACTGAACGATGAATTAGAACAACTCCTTTTCAATAGTAGCTCCGAAGAACGGGAGCTTGTCGATATACTGGGACTATTTCAGTGTCGACAAAGTGAAACTATTTCATTGTCGACAATATGGGATGTCGACAATTTGTGGTGTCGATAATTTGCGACGTCGGTTATTTGGGATGTCGGTTAGGTGGGAATATTCCAGTGTCGACAAACTGGGAATAATTCAGTTTCGATCAATTTCTAGGGTTGTCGATATTATGGAACCCACCCGACGATAGAGAGTCTCCCATAATCAATGCCATGACCAAACAGAAATATTTTAATTAATATAAAAGGCTAATATATTGACAAGGCTGTGGCGAAGAGAGAGAGAGACACACGGATCAAATTGCTTCGTTTCTTATTCTTCTCGCAGAGGTGTAAAGATGGCGTCGAATGACTACATCACAGAAGTGGAGATACAACCGGACATTCAAGAGATTGAAATTGAGAGTATACAGTGTGATATTCCTTGTGAAACTGTTGAAACTACTATAGAATGTGTAGATGGACAACCTATGATAGCATTACAGCCTTTACCGGACCCTGGAAGAGAAGAAATAATTTTACAAACCCAAGAGGAGATAGTAGGGAGTGTGGATCCTTTATCTGTTTATGACCAAATTGCAGTTCAAACAGACAATGATATTTATGTAGAATCTAGCCCAGGACCCTCCAGAAGAGGTAGAAAACCCAAGAAACAAGGTAGATTTCGTACAAACGATCAATACGTGGGTGATATGACTGAAACAAAAACACGCAAGTGGGAACAAAAACAAGTTCAAATAAGGACTTTGGAAGGGGAATTTTCCGTTACGATGTGGGCTTCTGGTACGGACGATGGTAAGTCATAAATTATTGACATTATCCTTCGATTCACCAAAGAATTATTTGTGATTCAAATTAATTTTGTGTCAAAATTGTAGGCTATGTTTCCTCTTCTGTTACTCTTCCATCAAGCACCTTACAATGGCGATGAACAACGGTCGCATCGCAGTGCGGATCAATAATGGACCATTGTCTTTGTCTGTGAAATAATTTATTGTAGTTTACTTTGTTATTAAATGTATTTCTAAAGTTTGTTTACTCGGTTTGTTTTGATTACGAACGGCCATGAAAGTTACCAGGGGGCTGCCATTATTATTTTGCAATATGGCTCCTTTATTATTGTAATATGGCCGCTATGGTGTGATGGCGGAGGGACGCCATCTTCATGCTGCTCTCTCCATGTCGAAGTCTGGTGCTATGCTGAGCATAACTTGACAGCCTATTTCGATGGATCTATTTGGTCAATTTAACAAAATTGACTTAAATTGTTCCCCTAATCCACTTGTAACGCTTGAAATTCATTTAAATTACTTTTTAAACTTATTTTACTGTAAATATGTAGACCCAATAGGGCCTAACTTATATTCTGGAAATATAAGTTAGGCCTACCCTCAATTAATTGTTTAGGCCTACTACAAGTTCTAATTAGGCCTAAAGGCCTAAGAATATACACAGCTGCTACTTTTAACACTAACTTACTTGTGATGAATAAAGCTGGCTAATTTAACGTATGCCAACTTTGTCCTAACTTAACCCTAGGGTTGCCCTGATGATTTGGATGAATGGCCATGTTATTTTTTAGATTTTGCCAGGGTTTTTTATTTGCAGTGTCTCTTTGTGTAGACTAAAAGGAGATTATCCCTTTGAGTGCCAACGTCAACGGGGAACCGGACGTTTTTAAAACGAGCCAAAAGTGCCGACGTCTGGCAGACCGGACGTTTTTAGAATGAGCCAAAAGTGCCAACGTCCGGCTGACCGGACGTTTCGTAATGATCGAACAGTTGTCATAACAACCGAATGGATTCTCGGATTCTTTTAACCCATATATTAACATTGAGTCGAAAGTTACTAGATGCGATACATCGATTTTCGTTGGTCGAAATATCGAAAATTCGATTTTTACGAAATTTTAACCTAAAAATCGCCAGATCGCGCTCGGCATTTTTAGCGCGACCTTCGGGAAAAATCATCGGCATTTTTTGAGCGTTACTTTTATTTCTCGCCTGGCACTCTAAGGGTTAAAATAAAACAAATTGGCCTACTGTAATAAAATCCATGGGGGTACTTTTTTGCTACAGTTGAAAAATTAAGTCACGAGTTTAAGTTAACTTACAACTTACTTAAGTTAAGTTAACCTTTAAGCAAATTAGGTAAGCCTGACTAACTTAACCCTCCGAGTGTCACTTGTCGAAAAACCGACTCATAACACACTTTGTGTAGTGTCACTTGTCGATTTTTCGACACACAAACATCGCTTACGGCGAAGGCTCTATGACTGACTGAATCGGATTTAACTGGATCGAGTTAGGTATCGTTCTTTTCAGCAGATTCAGAGCTTTCTCCTGATGTCTGTTTCTTCATTTTAGTTCCGAAAATATTGTAGCAGACAGCTGACGTGCGTATTTGTAAACAGCTTGGTTAACCTCGCACCGATGACTGATGTGTTTTATTAAATTTATTATTGTTTAGTGTTAAAATCATAAGTAGTGATATACGTGGTGCATTATAAGAAGATTTAAGTTAAGTGATTTTGAAGGGCTGGTTGATGATCCTGAAGAAGTAGGTGTAAATTATCAGCCAGATTCCTAGCTAGGGCCTATGGTTACGGTAGGCTATGCATTCTTAGCTAAACGCTAAGTTATGTACCGAAATCGGTTTTTTGCCCATAACTTATTTATTTGATAACTTACCTCACTATATGATTATATATTTGTAATCCTCATTAAATTTAGAACAAAGTGGCTATTTTCAAATATTTATAGGCCTATATGTAACTTATACAATTTCATTGAGCGCAAACTTATTTTTTTTTCAATTTTTCCAAAATAATTTTTTTTACATAGGCCTACCTAAAAAATTTTTTTTGAAACAAATGTTCCTTATGTTTTATGTGTAATATTGAAGCCCATGATTTTCCAAACAAAATGGTTTAAAGAACAGTAGAATTAACATTGTTTTTAAGCTTCTCAGATCCGTTTTAATAAAACCTTGCAAATGCGCAAAAAATAGGCGGACATTAAGGCCTAAACTATGGACACTCGGAGGGTTAAGTTAAATTTTTCATGTACCTAAGTTAAGTTAACTTAATTTTGGTTTCACATAAATTTCAAATTTAGAGTCCTCTTAAAAAAGTTTTAAAAGTTATTTTCCCACAAAATTGAGAAACAAAAAATCCAATATTAACTTAACTTACAGTAGACTCCCTTTTATCCGGACACCTTTTAACCAGACATCGGTTTAACCGGCGGAAATGTCATCTCTTTAAACGGACAACTTTTATCAGCACATAGGTTGAACCGGACTTGATAGGCAGGAAGTGGGCGGTACTGAAACGATCGTTCTCGTGGGGAAGATTTGAGATTATTTAGCGATAACGTGTATAAACACAATGCTCTCCTAAATTTGAGTCAAATGTTTGGGTTGCATGCATTAAACTGGTCCGTTTTAACAAGTTTTTGGGGATGTCGGTTTAACCCGAAAAACTGTTATCCGGGCTGCCCTCGGTTCCGAGCGGTCCGGATAAGAGGTAGTCTACTGTACTCTTAATTTTTTTGGACATTTTTTTTATTTTCCTTAGGCCTACCGGTACTTACTCTTACTCCTGTGGCCATTGAAAACCAAGGCGGTCTTTGGCCCCACCAACCATGTGCCTCCAGGATCCTCTGTCCTCTGCCAGCTCCAGGTCTGCTCCCATATTTACTCCTTAGGTCCTTTGTAATCCATCTCATAATTGGCCTTCCCAATGGTCTCCCTCCCTCTGGCGCACCGGTACCTCTTTATCACTTGTTTTATCATCTTCCTTTCACCTCTGCGTTGAATGTGGCCCAGCCACCTCAACCTTCTACTCTTATCTTAACACGTTCAGTGCAGCAGACAAAAACGTCATTTTCGGATTCAGCGTAAAATTTAGGTCATTATGGAAAAAAAATCTCACTTTTGCGACTAGTCACGACGTCGGAATAACAACATAAATACCCCCGCCGCAGCAAACCTGCAGACTTAGCGAATTTTCATTTGCCTCATTGGATTTACACTAAAATGTGTCTCCTTAAATATATCACATATTTATTCCCTATTTAAATAGAATCAGTTTACCGAGTACTTAGGTTTGCTGCAACAGGGAGGGTAAAAACGTGTTTTTTAATGTAGCCTAGGGGAAAATGTTAATAGGTACTGTAGTTTAGTAAGAAATTAATGTATTTTCCAAATTTGATCAAAATATGTTCATAAATTTAAGCAAACTACAACAGTTGACTTATTCTCCATTAAGAATAACATGGAAATTTTAAAATTACAATTTTTTTGAATTGTCTCCGTAACCCTTAGGCGCATAATAACGCTTCGATATACTAAATTATTTGTTTCTTTAAGCTCTACATAGTTCGGAAAGTAATTGTGAAATTTTGTGTTTTTAGGGTAAAGTGGGAAAAACCTATTTTTACCCCATAAAACCCTCCATAAACCCCCGTTCCCATAGTCCTATCATGCTGGTTCTTGATCTCATTCAAGTTTATCCTGCTTTACACCTTTAAACCAAATTTCATCAAAATCGGACAAAAATTACTCAAGTTATCGCGTTCACGGACACACACACATATATATATATACATAGCCTACATATATAATAATTTTAACGAATGGTGTTTTTGGCCTCTGGGGACATCAAAATGAAAAAGTAAATCGGTCCCGGGTCTAGGTCTTACCATGCCACCTACGGTAATAGCTTGCTTCCCTATAGGGAAATTCGCTGAAAAAAAATATTTCCGCTTAGTAAATAGGCCTTGTGGTACTTCTAAAAAGTGGTACCTTGCCCAAACAGTACGTAGCTGTTTAAATTGCTCTATCTTTCTTAATATAAGTTTGTTTAGACTTAACTTAGTTTAATCCAGACTTGTACTAACTAGGATGATTTGGATTCTCAATTTAATCCAGATTAATAGGGTTTACTGTAGCCTACTTTTAATATTTAGTTAACTCAGCAGAGGTTGACCTGAATTGAAAACGTGAGGAGATGAACGTTGGTCTTTCCAAACAGGTACAATTACAAAGCCATATTTCAGTAAGCATCATATTTTAATTACTGATACTCTAAAGTGTAACAATAGTGTAAAGTACAGTCTAACCTTGATATAACGAACCTCGATTTAACAAATTCCTTGATATAACGATTTTTTTTTAATCCCCTAGAACTCTCCATAAGACACGATGTATGTTGTACCTCTACAGAACGAACAACCTATATCAACGACCTTGATTTAACGAATTTTTCATGATCCCGGTTAAAATAAGACACCTCAATATAGCGAATTCATCATTGTCAGAACAATATGAGTATTGATATATCTTAATTTGAACTGGCATTGGACATGCTATCCCTAGTCAACCCAACAAAGAATCAGTGCCTCTTTCATTGAACATTTAGCAATATACGGATGATCCATGTAGTTTTGGCGTTACATTTGTCAGGTTTACAAGCTGGCAAAAAAACCATCTGTTAGTTTTGCAGGCGGTCTTTCTGTCACCTTGTAATAATTTATACTTTGTATATATTTTATGTAGTTCTAAGATATTAAAGACCTTAGTTCATTAAGTGAGACATCAAACATAATATCTACCAATATTTTGTTCTACTATGATTGTGTTTAAGAAGTTTTTTTAAGAAATTCAATACCTCAAGAATTTCTTTCAATAATATTTTGCTGCTTAAAAATTGTAATTTATTGCATGTTCAGTTATGATTTAGTGTCAAGAAACTCGAAATCATGGTGTTAATTTTAAAGGATGTTTTTTATTGCCTTTGAAAACAAAATAATGTTAATAGCGTGTTTTTTTTTAAATCATGTGAATGTCCAAAGTCTACACTGTAGAACCAACTTTAAATCATCTAAATTTCAAATATTCTATTCGTAATTTTAAATATTTTTCTGAGCAATTTGAAATCAGAAAGTTTCAAGCAGAGGGTATATGCTGGTTTTAAAACACTAATGATTTGTATATATCACTATAAAATAGTAGATTTAAGCTATTATTCTTTAAATTTTGCCGTAGATTTTATTTTAGTGGTTGTTTCCAGTATAAAATCTGTGGGATGAAAAGTATCGACGATATATTTTTTCTCTTGTACATTTTTGTAACATACTGTATTTATGTGTAAGCTAAGGATTTACAGGTAAATGTAACCCCAACTGCTGAGATTAGTAAATTTCTACGTGAAAATAAATTAATATTTTTGTCAGAATATTGTTACTGTTACATTTTCTTGAAAGGAGGTTTTAATACAAAAATGTGATATTTATCCTTTAACACTGCTCGGCCTTTATGCTATCAACTCATTCACCGTATAGAAGCTGAAGCCGTTCAATTATTTATGTAATTGAAGCTCCCCTGTAAATAACATGTATTATGTTAATAGTGTAATTTAAATAGAGTGAGCTAATTGCGAAATTGTGGTAACCAATATTTTCTTTGTATTGTATACATTACTTGTGAATTAAACTTATTTTCATGATTTTTGTAAGTTATGTTGTTACTGACCCTGTTAAATTATTTTAATACAGTCTAACCTTGATATAACGAACCTCGATACAACGAATTCCTTGATATAACGAATTTTTTTTAAATCCCCTAGAACTCTCCATAAGACACAATGTATATTTTACCTCTACATAACAAACAAACCATAACAACGACCTTGATTTAACGAATTTTTCGTGATTTCGGCTAAAATAAGACACCTCAGTATAGCGAATTTATCATTGTCAGAACCTCTACATAGCGAATTTAACCTCTACTTAACAAATTGTCTGCGTCTCTCCCTCGATACAACGAACCCCCCACCCCCAATTATTGTTTTTGAAAAATCAGTTTCTTCATCATATGAAATGGAAAGGTGACGTCAACGCTTGCGCTAACATTCGTCTGCTCCGTTTACACATCCCTGTCTGCTGTCGCCGCTGCATGCGCGCTATGTTACAACTGAGAACTGATTTCATTCACTGAGGACTGAGACGACGTGTAACGTTAAGTAAAATGTGATTGGGTGATAAGTAACAATACACTTTAGACCTATACACTTTTATAACGACTTGTAAATATTTTTATTATTTTCAATATACGATTTGTTTAAGGCAACACCAATGCTATAGTTGATGATTATTATTAGAGTATTGACATTCCTCTGTTGTGATTTAAAGCAGTACTGTAGCTTACCGGCCTATCACAAGCAGTAGCTTACAAAACTGTAAAGATTTGTTTTGTTCTTTGCGTGCTTTATTGCTATACAATACAGTGTTTGGCTAGGTTTTAGGTGGGTTAGAGTAAGCTGTGATTTTAAACTTACAGTTTACACCTGTACTAAGGTCAATGACTAGAAATGTTATGATTGCGCAATATTAAAGATCCCTACCCTTTGGTACCCCAGATAATCGAGGGAACTTTACTATGTAAACACTGTACTGTAAAGTATTGTAGCCCATGCTACTTTAATTGTGTTTTAATGAGGTCAAATCCCGACCTATATTGACTGATGCTGGTTCTGAACCTCGACTTAGCGAAATTCCTGCAAACCTAACCTCAATATAACGAACCTCGTTTTAACGAAATCCTTGATATAACGAATATTCAGTTCGGTCCCTTCAGATTCGTTATACCGAGGTTGGACTGTATTTAATTTATTATAACCTTCTGAACATGCTTATGAAAAAAATCATGAAATGGGCAGTAATAAAATCATACACCTTGCATTGTATTTTTTTCTTCTCATATAAATCAATATGTTGCATCAGAAGGTTTTTTATGTATCTATAAATGATAAATATATAATATGATAAAAACTGTAGCCTACAGGTACCGGTATAGTAAAAACTATGATATGTGATATGGAAAGCGAAAAGGTACTTCTTGTCGGGACCGCAAAAATTGTGAGATATTTTGTTCTCCACTCCGAACTTTGTTGTAGTTCTTTAAATTTCCACTAGAATGCAGGTCAATTCATTTTTTGAACTAAAGTCTGTTAATAAAGTGAATATTAGAAATGGGACCCCTTGTCACTATGTGCTAAGTGGCGTCCCCATCTTAAATAATTGATATGGCGAAATATCATTGAGCGACAAGAGGTACCTTTTCTCAGACCGTGCATTGGCTAACAAAATTATTTATTTCAACCTCATAGACCTTTGATTTGATATTTTAACCAATACTGTCCTATTCTATGTTAATTGAGGTATACAAATTGATAAAAACCCTACAATCAGTGGACTATCAGTCCTACTCTCCTTGTTAGGTTCCACGTCTGGGACATAATACTTCTCTATGGCCCAGCACATAATTTAATGGCAATATTAATGAGTTAAAACTGTATCCAATCAACAATTAAAAGAATAATATGCATTAATTTACTAAACACGAGACGACGCAAACTGTCTTATGAACCGGTACTTCCATTACACCAGAAGACACAAAGGATGGAATTGACCAGTACATGAAAAGCTTTCGCTAGGCTGAAATAAAGAGGTGAAGTATGTCACAGTGTTCCTAGAATGTGGTGTGTTGTGCACTGTAAAGGCTAAATATAATTTTTATTCAAAAAAAGGTACTAAAGCGGTCATTTGGTAGCTATATGTGCTTTCACAGGTTAACCATAACATATCTAGAATCAAGATATTACACGATAATTTACCACAGTAAAATTATTTATTTTTAAAACTTATTATAATGGTGTAACATTTCGATCTTTTTTGCAAACACCGTCAGAGATGTAACCTCTTTGTTGGGGGTACAACTTGGCATAACATTTTCTTCAGAGACCTCACTTTTTTTAACTTAGGGTTAAGTCATGTTTCAACTCCTTTTCCAGTAAAAAATTATGTACTCTTAAATAATTGCAATTTCCAATAGACGAGTGCAGTAATCCAGACCCTGATCCGGACTATGAAGACTACATGACAGATCGCAAAATACCTCAAGAAGGCATTCCTGGACTAGATCTCAGCGACCCTAAGCAACTTGCGGAATTTGCCAGGTTAGTTGTAGAAAATCATGATTTTTATAACATGAACCAATTATGTTGTACAGCTTTTTCAAAGCTTTGGGCCTATATGATGTGGAGGTAATCTATTTAACAATGTTGAAAATATCTAAATATTTGATCAAAATAATGCTCACAAATGTTTGTTTTTTTATCCATCTAGGATCCAAAAAGCTTTGATCTTTTGGCGCTTTAAAGAGTCCTCGGAGGCTAGCGGCCATCTTGGGTAGTTTTAAACAGCTGTTGAAGAGTTAATTATCATCCAAAGATAAACAACAAAGTGATTATAATGTAAATATCTAGTATACTGTGAGATTAGAAATGGTGGTTGTTGTTTTGAATGTATTTCCAAGGGAGTCCCCATGGGAGCCAACAGCCATCTTGGATTTTCCCGCCATAAGAGCAATGTTAATTTTGTTATTTTCAAACAGCCTCTGAAGAGCTATTTTTACCACCTCAAAATATTTGTTCAAATAGCAAAGTGATTGTAATTTATACTAGGGGCCAAGAGAGTTTGCAGTTGGTGGTAGCCAATAGCAAGACTAGACTAGCGCGGCGTTGCAACATCGCCCGTTCACTAACTATACTCAACAACATTATTTAACAATATTTTCAATAGTTTCAAATCAGCTGTTATTACACAACCATACGGTACCATATTAGTTTGGTTGTTAGGTACCATATTAGTTTGGTTGTTAGGTAGCTGGATTTGGCAACATGGCACTGACCTCATTGGCTCCTTCGAAGTGGATGTAGTGTTGCAGAAAGTCAACAGTGCCGGAAGGCCAAATAATTTATTCTTGAACCGTTAGATAAAAAACAATATATTTTGTTGTAGCGTTAGGTCACAACAAGTAAAGTCAGTACTAAAAACGTAGGCTGTGTATATGAGTTTGACCTAGCCTAATGGGATTTTGTCCTAGTGAACAGTTCCTACGAGAACAAACATTTGATCAAACGATATATTTCGCTGTTTCAATATGTCAACAGTACCATTAGGTAAAAAGTACATTCTGTTCAAAACAATGATAGTCCTCTCGATGCGTGACTTCGATAATTTCATGTTTTGGCGTACCTATTTAAAATTTTGCTAAAATGTTAATAATTAGCAAAGAGCTTCTTGGTTAGTAATACTTGATGAGTAGCTGTATGGAATTTAAAACTATTTATCGACCTTATTAATAAAAATTTATTCCTAGCGGTATGGTAAGAATAGTGTTAAACCGTGATGGTGTAACATGAAGAAGATAGCATGCAAGGAAGTTTTTTTTTATTTTTGGTTTAGAGAGGTTTTGTCTGACGCAAAGTTGTTGCCAATAGTTTGATGCATAAAATAAATTTTTTTGAAATTTTTACAATTAGTGGCTCAGTAGATAACTTGGGTTGAAAAGGGGAAGTTTAGCATTTCACATTTTTGGTCCGTTAGCGTGATAACTATTGCAAGAATGATCCGATTTTGATCAAATTTGGTACAAACGTGTAAACCTACGTTCATTCGAAAGAGGTCGCGAACCAACATGATCGGACTATGGGAATGAGGGTTTATGGGGGCTTTTATGAGGGAAAAATTGAATTTTCCCATTTTTTGATTCTAAAAAGATTAAATCTCACAATTTCTTTCCAAACCATTTTGTAGAGCTTAAAAAAAGAAATAATTTATATTTATATTTGTGATCAGGAGGCAAAAAACAACAGAAATGAAATAATTTTGTTCGTTGAATTGTTGTATGCCTAACAGTTACAGAGGTATTTCACACTATTTTAAATCAAAATGCCCATGTTATTCTCATGGAGAATAAATATATGACGAAATTTCGGGTTGAGAGACAAAATTGAGATTTTATAGTACGTGATTGTCGTCTCACCTGAAATTCTGTCACACCTTAAATCTGTCCAGATAGCTTAGCCTACTATGAGATAGTCCAGGGCTCTAACGTGTTCGTTAATTAATTATCGTTTCGAGTTTATTGGCTCAGAATATTAATTACAACAATAATGCTTACAATGTTAAGCTTACCTTTACTAGTGCTCATCATAGCCACTCGAAAAATATATGAAGCTAAATTTAGAATTTTGAATAAATTATCGAGAATGCGGATGACCTAATTAATTAGAAACTTAACTAAAACGTGATTCGGTCGTTATACTTGGTAATCACCAAAGTAAACGTGTCGGGAAAATTAGACTCGGTCGATCACCAGAGTCGATACGGGGTTTCTTGAATCAAATTTATGTAGTACCGTTCGGGGTAACGGAATAAGCACTACGGATATCGTTCTGGCAACTTAAATGATTTCCGTAGCTGGTTAAATACAAAAGGCAGTGTGCTCGTACGTGAAAAAGCGTGCGGGTTGCGCGCGACTGCGGCACAATAAAATAAAATAATAAAACTTCTGCAAAAATGTGAATAAACAAAATAAACTCGGTAGCACACTAACCTGATGCCTTAGGACTATACCAGGAACGGGGGAAATCTTTAACAGACCAGAATTTAGTAAGTCAGGACTGTTGGATTTATCTCCAAACAGCAAGCGTCTTGACGGTTCGGTAGCGGGTGGACAACTGATCATGAGGTCCGCTCTTCTGGTCCTTCTTCGCCATCGCCCCTGGCGGCGGGGTAGGTAACTAGCGTCATCCCCTCTACGATGACGTAGGACCCTTGCCCCTACGATGCCGCTGACAACGCGGGCGCGGCTTACCCCGAACGTAGAAAATTATAATATTTAAAATGAAACTTTTAAAAATCGGGTTTTTACCCCTCGACGGGTTTTGGGTCGTTACAAATAAACTGTTTTAGTTTACTTGTTTATGGATATATTATAATCAAATTAAAATTTTTTGTTTATTTCATACTGAGCTATCAACATTTCAATAAAAAAAAACACCTCGATACCTTCCCTGAAGCAGCAAACTTGAGTACTCATTCCAAATCAAGTATTTTAAATAGGAAATGAATCTGACAATTTTAAGGGAATGTTTTAATACAATACAATACAATACAATATTCTTTATTGTTAATTCGTCAAGAATTACAATAGTGAATTGTACATGTTAATTTCCATAAAATTCCTTTATTGAGTAGAAGGGTCTTGCGATTAGCCACTTCTTCAACTCCTGGTGTAGCTTGTTGCCAGTCAGGTCTCTCAGGTAGTCAGGTAGATGGTTCCTCAGTTTAGTAGAAATGCAGCCAGGTAAATCTAAATTTTCTTAGTCTGCAATTAGTACTATGTGCCAAATTAAAAATAACGGTTTTATAAAGATATTAGATTTTTTATCAGAGTTGAAATTTATAGGTTAAATTAACATGAATTTTTGAACAACTGCTCAAAAACCTAATTGCCCAACAACATTCAGGGCATTTTTGTAAATACAAAAGTTGTTCGTTGTTCTGTAAGCAACATTTATTGTAATAAGTGTAGGGGTGTGCGATGCATCGAAAATGCATCGAAATTTCGATTCGATTCGATTCGATGCATCGAATCGCGATTCGATTCAGTGGTGGTCAAAAAACGATTCGATTCACGAGGGAGTCAGTATCCATATACGAAAAACGCCTGCAGAAAGTCAATGCAATACCCGCAATACAGGAGCGCGTTGCTGTTGCGTTTCCTTTACGAAGGCGTTCTTATTTAATACATTCTTTGCATTAAATATAGCTTTAATTGTTTTATATTTTTTTGTTTTGACATTGCAAATGATTAGAGGTTTGTTTTTTGTCTTGATGTAAGCAGTGTGTGAAATATTTTACTACTGTGAACCTAGCCAAAACAAGGTAGGCAGGGTGTCCACATTCTGGAAAGTCAGGGATAGTCATGGAAAGTCATGGAAAAAAATTCTGGTCATTGAAAGTCATGGAAATAGGCAAAAAGTCATGGAAAGTCATGGAAATCTCCAATGATGGATGGATTTCAGGGGTCCTTTCAATGATCTAGTTGGCCGTAACCCCGACTATTGTAGCATTTTTCCGAATTTTTCACAAATGTACGACAGTTCAAGTTATACAGTTGTCTTAGTTTATGGGTTTTAAGGTTGTATTGTCCATTCTCAAGTTTCCGAATTCTTGTCAGTAAACAATATCCTCAACAGTTTCCAATCTGGATTTCGTAAATATTACAGCACTGAAACAGCGATGCTCCATATAACTGATGAAATACGATTTGCTATGGATCACAGCCAATGCACTATTTTAACCTTATTTGACTTCAGCAAAGCTTTCGATACTGTAAATCATAGCATTCTTCTAGCCAAACTCCAACTTTTAGGTTTTTCTGATAATTCACTAAAATGGATGAGATCATATCTTCAGAGCCGAAAGCAGTGTGTATGTCATGACAACTTGACGTCCGACTGGAGAAATGTTCCCTGTGGAGTTCCTCAGGGTTCAATTCTTGGCCCACTACTTTTCACTGTTTACATTAATGACATTAGTACAGTACTACACCACGTAAAGTTTCATTTTTATGCTGATGACCTGCAAATTTATTCTCATTTTAAAGTCAGCGATATAAATGAAGCTATAGACATGATGAATCACGACATTGACAACATTGTTCAATGGGCAGCACAGAATGGACTTAGACTCAATCCTGACAAAACAAAACCAATCATTATAGGTCACTCACGTTTACTAAACAAACTTGAAGAAGACAATTTACCAAAACTCACTGTAGATGGAATTACTTTGCAATATCAAAACAGAGTCAAAAGTCTTGGATTGCTGATGAACCGCACATTAGACTGGACTGACGCGGTGGTAGATACTTGTAAAAGAGTATTTGCCGCCATTCACACAATCAAGAAGATGCAACGACTCCTTCCTTTTCACATTAAACTCTTACTGGTCAAATCACTTGTGTTTCCACACTTCAATTACTGCAACACTGTGGTTAATGATATGACTGTGGCTTTGGCAACAAAACTACAACGTGCACAAAATTATTGTATTAGATTTCTGTTTGACCTTAGGCTGGACGACCACGTCACACCTTATTACATAAATGAATCAATTTTGAAATTAGATGACCTCAGAAAACTCCGAATACTTTCAATCACTCATTCGGCTATCAATCTTGGAATTCCAAATTACATTGCAAAGAATTTTGAATTTTTTAATGAAAGAGGTGCAAGGGATACTCGCTCTGGCTCGTCTACGTTGCGCATTCCTCGTCACAGAACAACTATTTATAATAAATCATTTGTAGTCACAGCATGCCGCCTATGGAACTCTATACCCGATGCCATTAAATCCATAGAAAACCGATCCCGACTGAAGGCGACACTGAAAGAATATTATCTCAACCGGATGGTAGTGGCGTGGCGGGATGGCGTGCGTTAGGCTTAGCTGCTGCAAAGAGTGTATGTGTGTGTGACTGTATGCTAGGAAAATAAATGTATGTTATGTTGTTTATTATTAATTATGTTACGAAATGTGTATTTTACTTTTGTTCATATCATGTATTATTGTTATTACTATTATTATTTAGAGGTTAACTGTAAGAAAGGACCATGAGGTCCTAAGTTCGCCTCAATAAAGAAGGATTTTCATTTCATTTCATTTCATTTCATAGTTCATTGTTGTAACTGTTGTTTGCCATTGTTATCTGTTAATACATATTTCAGTATTTTCTGTCCAGGCAGTATTATTCGTGTGTTTACGGTATATTATAATTTTTGAGTAAAGTTCGTGAGTCATGGAAATCAATGGTTAATGGTCATGGATAGTCATGGAAAGTCAGGGAAATTATTGACAAAATATCTGTGGACACCCTGGTAAGTTACTCCAAAATCATTTTAAAAATAAGTCTGAAAAATTGTTACTTAATACTTAACTAGTAAGATTAATGTTATAGACTGATTCATTTGGTATTTTTGTTAGGTGTCTGCCGGTCCCCGTCCCCGAATTTTTGTTGGGGCAAAAGAAAAAAAAAGAATAATTTATTTCCAAAGAAACACTCTTATATTATTATATCTATTATTACAGAGGAATTAAAATGTTCAAATGAGAATTAAAAATTAAGTTGGCTCACGACCTTTAAGAATAAAGACACAACAGAGCAATTGCCGCACTGCCACTAGCCAGAGCCAGGTCTAGTCGTCTACTGATAAGAGCAACAAGACAAAAGCCGTGACGCAACACTAACAGTGCAAAGAAAACAAAGTCAAAAGAATAGAAAGACTATTTATCCAGACATACTAGTATAATCATTTATTGTTTATTCAATACCTAATTAAAAATATATTTTATTATTTTACATAATAAATTATAAACAAAAGAAATATCTGATATAGTGAACAGATCTGTATCTTGGTTAGATGGGGTTAAAAAAATATATTTCTAAGATCCAATACAATATTTACAACTCACAAATTACATTGAATTAATTTCTTTGAAAATAATCTCTAACAGTTTTGTGTTTTTGAATAAAGAAATATATTTCTTTGTCTCTACTTCCTTGTTTCATCACTTGCATTTTGTCAGCAATTGAAGCAACTGGGTAGCAACCGGGTGGTGTAAGAGGGGAGGGGGAGGGTCTATGACCTTGAATTCACAGATCGTTGCCCGGGCCTGGCTGGTGAGACTGATTCATTGTTTTTGTTGACATACTACTACCCTTCCTTAAGAGAAAAAGGCCCTGCTGTTCCAAAAACATTGAGGGTAGTTTAAAAACATTGACCTGTGTTGCCAAGGGCACTAGGCTAGAAGATAGCATTTAACTTTATTGTCTCTTGATTTAATATTATTTTAATCTTCTATATATTATTTTAGAGTTACTTTTCGGGTACCTAATTAGTTGTGATATTGTTTGGCTTTATTTTATGGATTTTTAACTCTTTTCATTCATTAGCTATCAAAATCAGTTGTTTTAGGATTTTAATCTCTTGCAGTAGGTCTATACTACTGTATGACATGATATGCATTTTTTAGTCCTTATTAATTATACCATAAACAATGTTTGTATGTTATTTACTGTTTTTGAGTTTTATAGGAAATTAGTTTACACAATATCTTTTCTTCAATGAGTTCTCCACTTGACATGTTGCTTCTAGCCTATTACTATTTTAGGCCCTATAAAAATAATGCCTAGGTAAAGCTGTAGGCCTACTGATGCCAATAATAATTCTTTATTTATGATGATGTAACAAATAATGTAAGTGTGAGGTTATTATACTAAGGAGGTTAGGAGGCAGGGAATGAATGATACATATTGCATGGTGGAAACATATTATTTTTATTTTCTTCTTGCTTGCAGTCCTGAAGCCGGTCCACAGGCCCTAAACTTGTGATATGTAAATTTATTTCTTAATGGTCTTTTTATATTAAGTTCCATTCAAATTTGTTGTAATTTAGCTACCGGCACCTATTTAGTTATTTAAACAGTTATTAAAATGAGAATGAATGTCTTGATAAAAAAAAATATTTTCTTCTTTCTTGCAGTTGAGCCAATTCAAGTAAAAATTATGAAATAGGCAAGTAAAGCAGCTCACTGGTATTTCCAGCAGTTATTCTAATACATATGATTGAAAATAAATATTTTTTCACCTAAAATTCATATGTTAAGTATGAAATAGGCCTAATACCACATCAACAAAAATTTGTATTACACAAATGTGATACATTTTAATTATTGTTAATCCACTCAATTGACAATTATGAATAGAAAAATACCGTATTGCTTCGAATCGAGTTGCATCGAATCGAATCGAAAATCTTTTGAATCGAATCGTTGCTTCGAATCGAAAATTTTTTGCTGCTTCGCACACCCCTAAATAAGTGTAACTCGCTATATATTACCGTTTTCGAGATATGAGTTTCATGTAATAAATTTAATGTAATGATTCTCAGGTTATGCCCACTCTGCCAAGCTGGCACCCACGTGAAAAATGATAACGCGCATAGAACCTACATGATCCCTTATGGTGTTTTTCTATATATAAAATGCACACAGGAACCCTTCTAGCAAGTGGATTAATAGGAATTGAAATTAAATAATATCAAAGGATTTTTATTAATCAATCCAATTGTTCATAACTTTATTGGAACACAATTAGCAGTTTTAGTTACTTTTGGATGACAGGTAGATCAAATTAGGTGATAATAACTTTTTAAGTTAGGTTATTGAAAACCATTATGATTGTATGGTGTACTTAATCATGTGTTGTCTGAACTGGATTTGCTTAGAAAATAACAAATACTACATTATGCTTAGTCGAAGGTTAACACTCTTTTCTTTGTTTCTCCACTCCTTGTAATATTTTATCATTGCTTATGTTCTCTGCATTTTTCAAGCTCTTATCATTTATCACTACTGTGTTATTTTAAAATTTTTTCTTGTTTATTGCTTTTGCTTGTTTCCTTTTAACAATCCCGCTTGTCCGCACAATAATAACACTGACTGTTATTGCAGCACCCCTGATTGTTTTAGACCAGGGCACAAAATGAAGATGAAGAAGCCGAGCAACGACATGATCGACCGTACGATCGCATGTCCACACAAAGGCTGCACCAAGATGTTCAGGGACAACTCGGCGATGCGCAAACACTTACACACGCACGGGCCGCGCGTCCACGTGTGTGCGGAGTGTGGGAAAGCGTTTGTGGAGAGCAGCAAACTCAAGAGGCATCAACTGGTTCACACGGGGGAAAAACCTTTTCAGGTACTTACCATAATTATTTATATTAATATAAAATGGTTTTAGGCCACCATTTATTGATATGGTTTACAAAAAAAATTCGAGCTAAGTTTTTATTGGGTGAGGTTCACCAGCCACATTTTAGCATGATTACGCAATTTTTGTAAATTTTGTGTTGATTTTCCATGGACTCTTAACGGATTTTGGTTTTTATGGGGTATTTTGATATTATTTTTTTACTGAGTACTAAAGTTTAACTAAATAAGTTGAGCATTCTATAAAGGTTAAAATAATAATCTACTACCAGGATACAAGGCTATTGTTTTCTATCATTGTTGTTGAGTGGAGATTTTGGCTTGACAGTAACGCAAAATTTGAATTATGTTGTCACTGACCACTTTGCTAGGGGAGAAAAACATGCTATTGTGGTGGAGAATTTAGTATTGTAGTGGTGACGACTAAGTAGTTTTAACACATGTGACTTTAATATACTTGCTCTTACTGTTGAAGACAAAACATTGATTATAAACTTTGTTTTTCCAGTGTACATTCGAAGGGTGCGGTAAACGATTCTCATTGGACTTCAACCTCAGAACACATGTTCGGATACACACAGGAGACCGACCTTACGTCTGTCCTTTTGACGGCTGTAACAAGAAGTTTGCTCAGTCTACGAACCTCAAATCTCACATTCTCACCCACGCAAAGGCGAAGTAAGTGTTTTTTAGTGCTGTAAAACTTGTTGCATGTATTGCCAAAATGTCAGACTTGCACTATCAGTCTATAACGAATCAAAAAATTATAACCCCCACCTTTCACACTACACTGTTTTTACTGTACGGCGAGAAAAATGTGTTACACTATCACAATAAACATAAACTGTATCCAATGAACAAGCCAGATTGTAAAATAAGAAAACAATGCAAAGCCGCTCTATTTGCACTGACTGTTGGGCTCCTGTGTGACAAAAAACTGTGATGTGTGAAAACTCTTGGCAAAATCTGTATATCGTGTGAAAGGAGCGTTAGGTGTATTGTAGTCTCCATCTGAATTTGTCTAAGTAGGTAAAAAAAATCAGGGTTTTAGCGGTTTAAACGGGTTCTCACCAGCATTACAAACAATCCGTAGATTTTTTGTGGCACCAGCATATGCGTGTTACTTTATAAATTTGTACACTAATGCACATATAATGGCCTCAGGAACAACCAGTGACTGATGGTTTGTACGATGTGCTACAGAAAAGTGAGGTTTGCTATCAACACACGAGTGTGTGACATTTGACAGTAAACCTTACTACAGTTAGAGAAAATTATAACAGTTTTTTGTAAAGTTTTTTTAGTAAATAAAGTAAAAAGAAGGTTAATGGAAGAATAAGCTGATGCAACTTGAGTTCAGAATTCATGCTAGTAAAGCTAAAACATTTACTGGGTGAGTTGCATATGATACTCCAGTAACAAATAGTCTATTCAGGGTACGTAAAACACAACCCATACGTTCAATCACAACACTATTATACACTATTTTTGCACAGCAAGTTAACTTAGTTTTTTTTTATTTTTCAAGAGGTAGCGTTTTTGAACTTTTTTAGTATTGATTGTAAAAATGTAATGTGAATTATTTATGTTTATGGCTTTATGATAGCTTTGTTGAGGCCCTACTTAAGACATTCAAATGCCTTTTTGAAAAAAAATTTCCATAAGAGTGCTGGTAAATTTACTGATCTTCAGTATACTTTGCCAAGCCCTTTTTGTAAACAACCACTTTCTAGTCTAGAAACCACCAGCTTATTATGTAGCATGGTAAATAGTTGTAATAAATTCACTTTAAAATATTCATTTGATAGAATTCCCTTTATTATCCATGTGAATCTATACACCTACCAACTAATGCACATATAATGGCCTCAGGAACAGTCAGTGGCTGATGGTTTGTACGATGTGCTACAGAAATGTGAGGTTTTTCAACAACACACTTGTGTGTGCAGTTTGGTAATAGCCTTACTACAGTTATGACAGATAATCGGAGGGAGAAAACTACTGGAAACTACTTCAAATCTACTCCGATATGTCGTGTTTGTAAAGAGCTTATGGTAGAGTGTTATCAGACAGCTGGGTTTTATATCAGAAAACTAGCAATTTTATAGCGTTTCTAAAAAACTGTCGTTTGATCCTTGCACAACATGCCTACCAATGCCTTTGGCAATGGTCTGAGGAATTCATCAACAGCCCTGTATGTGCTATTCACAAAATACAAAATTTTCACCAACTAATGGTTTGCAGGCCTCGCAACCCCATGAACCACCGACCCATGCAGATGGTCAACCCCGATGAGATGCCTCAGTTTGTACAGGTAGAGGTGGGGGATGTGGAACACCAGCAGTTCATCGTGTATGCTGATTGAACTCGTCTTTGGTAAGTGGCAACTGACCCGTTAATCTTAGGTCCCTAGGTAGGGATTGTGTGATACTTTATATCAGCACAAATTACAGTTTGTTGCATTATTGTGATTTAAGTAGGTAGTTATTAAAAGAATTTTGACTTCAGTAAAAACCCGCTAATCAAATTCCGTAATCTGACTAAGGAGGACCTGTTATAGAAAACAGAAATATTAGTAAACATCCAATGAGATGTTTGTTGAGGTTATGTTTTATACCAAAAAGCCACAACATTTTTGTTTACGATAGAGTGAAATAGTAATAATTTAGTGATAATTTTGAGGAGAAAGATAGATTCCAAAGCCAAGTTGCTTTTTTTCAGGGCTGTGCGAATAGTTCGAAAAACGAATCGAATCCGAATCTTTTTAGAGATTCGATTCGGATTCGAGAACGAATCTACTGTTTCTAACTGGATTCGGATTCGGAATCGATATTCAAATTTACTGGTAAGAGATCCGGGTTCGGATTCGATATTCGAATTTCTTGGAAATAGATCCGAGTTGGGATTCGATATTCAAATTTACTAGATTCTGATTGAATATAATTTTCAATATAGTTTTTTAGACACTAAAAAACTACTTGTGCACTCCGATTCGCTGTTGACTGGTTCATGTTAGGAACCTGACCAACTTGGTGTTAGGCTTTAGGCACATTAGTGTAGGTCGCATTTGAACCCTATCTTGGCTATCAGTAAACTTAACCTCACAGTGTTAGTTGTTACTTGTAATAGTAATGCAGACATAGGCTTGTGTGGAGGATTAACACCGAGGTGTATAATAGGCTGGGCCTATGTTTTAGACTACACAAATTGGTAGTCCATCACTTTTAGCGAGAAACTTAGGCCTAGGTGGTATGCCTAACTTATGCCCAATTTTTTAGTTTCAAAACTTCAAATAGGTAGGCCTAAATTTCATAACTTTTTTATTTGGTCCATTTCAAGAATTTTTTTAAGCAATTCCCTAAGTTATTTAAGCCCCAGAAAATGTGGTCTAAAAATGTGAAAATTGGTACTGCTGACTTTCCTCGGATTTGGATTCGACTCTGAACAGGTTTAAATATTCGGATTCGATAACAGCTTTAAATTTCAGATTCGGATTCGATCCAGGTTCGATAATGGCTGTAAATTTGAGATTCAGATTCGACTCGGGATTAATTAAAATATTCGGATTCGATCCGGATTCGATAAAATCTGTACAGCTATGATTCGGATTCGGATTCGAACCAAAATTTCTGGATTCGCACAGCCCTGCTTTTTTTCCTTTAAAAAACTGAGAATAAAGATAATAATTTAACACGTTGACTGGGCATGTTAACTCGTCACCCCTAGTGCTTTCTTGTGGCACGTGACGAGTATACTTGTCAAAGCGTCATTTACACACTATTGTTCCATTTTGAGGTTAGCCACTGCCGTGAGACGTTTCAATTGCCGCTTATTGTGTCAGTTTTATACTTCAATCTGGTATAATTAGTTTTTTTAGATCTAACTATTTTATCTGTGGTAGGTACTGTTACTTAAAAATTTATCGAATGTGGGGTTTAGGCTTGGAATTAATTATATGAATAGAATAACAATAATGAATATTCTGTAGCATTGTAGAAGGAACCTAACCTCAAAGTTAATTGTGCTTGAACTCTTTTTTGCGGTATTTTTTTATTATATCCAGTTACTTTCTTACTTTGCCTCGTTGCATCAAGAAAGAAAATCACAATGGTGAGAAATGATCATGATGTTGCCGCAAATTCGGAGGTCCTGCCAATTGAAAGAAATAATTACGGACTTTGCCGCGATCACTATGTATAATCACGGGTATTGCCGTGACCATGGTAAATCATCACAAAAGCCTCTCAAGATATGATCACGAATGTTGCCGCAATGCTATTTGATATATGTTGCCATTTGATTTTTTTATTTTAAGGGCTACCAACATGACAAAAAAAAATAAATTTTTGGTAAAATATTATCATTAAAAAAATTATTTAATGTGACATATAATTTTAAAGCTGTGTTTACCAGGATTACAAATTTTCAATCAGAATAGAAAAATGTTTAGCAGTTTCAAAAATACAGGGGTTTACTTACATCAATAGACAAAAAATTCACAAAAGTGGCTGCTATTTTGAAACGAATTGAGATACAGTAGAACTCCAATCATCCGAACTCCAATTAACCGAATCTCCAATTATCCGAATCGCTTATTTCAACAATTTTAAAAACGTAAAGCTACAGTAATAAGTTTTGCAAAATATCAAAGAATTGTTATTAAACACATTTAGCCAATTTTGGACTTTGATGGAACAATATTGACTTAATAACATGTATAGAACACTTGTACTATGAGCATTGTAAACTGTAAAAATGTTCTGATTTAAATTATTATTAATTAAAAGTTCACTTAGTACCGAAAATGAGGATTTTTCTTTAAAATCCCCGGAATTCCGGTAAAACTCCGATTATCCGAATTTTTGATTATCCGAATGGGGTCTGGTCCCTATTGATTCGGATAATCGGAGTTCTACTGTAATTGAGTTCTGTTTCCACCAAAATGTTGCTCTAAGCCAGGACCTTTCTAAAAATGTACAATGAGATATAGGTTGTCGTAAGGAATTTTCGAGATTCAAACCCATGACCTTAATATTGAGATGTACTTGGATCATGTCCAAAGTATTAATGGATTCTTCGTATGTGATTTAGGAGGCAATAATTTTATTTCGCGTTTTAGATGAAAACGTACTCCTGTAAAAGTATGCGTACGGGTGGTCTGCCGCTCCCTCACCCTGTAAAATATCTTGTGTGATTCATAATTTCGTATTTTCAGAATCTTAAGGACAAACAGACTGAAACAGCTGTGAAGTGAAGCACCATGTTCAGTTCCAGTTAAGAACTATGAGAGAAGATATTTTATACAACTAGCCAGTAGCCTCTAGGCATCAAATGTCTACGTTACGTCAGGATTTCTCCAAAATAGAATTCAGGATAACTAAGTGAATTTTCTATTTTGCACTGAAAAGTGATGTTATCAATAATAAGGTACCATTTATTGAAGTTACTCTTGGAGATTTCCTGATGAATATATTACAAAGATTTAAAAAATAACGTCAAGCAAACGTTTTCAAAACTACTCTCTACTTAGAAAGCACGTTTTGTTTCTATTAAAATAATACCTTTACCTTTTGGTTGCAATTCAATATTTACAAACATGTTTTAAACTCTGTAAATACATAGTTCTAAACATTTTAATAGTTTACAGTGTATTTTACTGTAAAAAAAGGAAATCATTGAAATAAAAAAAAAATTAGAAATACATTGATTACAACTAGATATTAAATTATATACTTGTTTTATGAGTATTGATACCTTAATTTGAACTGGCATTGGACATGCTATCCCTAGTCAACCCAACAAAGAATCAGTGCCTCTTTCATTGAACATTTAGCAATATACGGATGATCCATGTGGTTTTGGCGTTACATTTGTCAGGTTTACAAGCTGGCAAAAAAACCATCTGTTAGTTTTGCAGGTGGTCTTTCTGTCACCTTGTAATAATTTATACTTTGTATATATTTTATGTAGTTCTAAGATATTAAAGACCTTAGTTCATTAAGTGAGACATCAAACATAATATCTACCAATATTTTGTTCTACTATGATTGTGTTTAAGAAGTTTTTAGCAATACCTCAAGAATTTCTTTCAATAATATTTTGCTGCTTGAAAATTGTAATTTATTGCATGTTCAGTTATGATTTAGTGTCAAGAAACTCTAAATCACTGTTAATTTTAAAGGATGTTTTTATTGCCTTTGAAAACAAAATCATGTTAATAGCGTGTTTTTTTTTTAAATCATGTGAATGTCTTAAATCATGTGAACACTGTAGAACCAACTTTAAATAATCTAAATTTCAAATATTCTATTCGTAATTTTAAATATTTTTCTGAGCAATTTGAAATCAGAAAGTTTCTAGCAGAGGGTATATGCTGGTTTTAAAACACTAATGATTTGTATATATTACTATAAAATAGTAGATTTAAGCTATTATTCTTTAAATTTTGCCATAGATTTGATTTTAGTGGATGTTTCCAGTATAAAATCTGTGGGATGAAAAGTATCGACGATATATTTTTTCTCTTGTAAATTTTTGTAACATACTGTATTTATGTGTAAGCTAAGGATTTACAGGTAAACGTAACCCCAACTGCTGAGATTAGTAAATTTCTACGTGAAAATAAATTAATATTTTTGTCAGAGTATTGTTACTGTTACATTTTCTTGAAAGGAGGTTTTACTGCAAAAATGTGATATTTATCCTTTAACACTGCTCGGCCTTTATGCTATCAACTCATTCACCGTATAAAAGCTGAAGCCGTTCAATTTTTTATGTAATTGAAGTTCCCCTGTAAATAACATGTATTATGTTAATAGTGTAATTTAAATAGAGTGAGCTAATTGCGAAATTGTGGTAACCAATATTTTCTTTGTATTGTATACATTACTTGTGAATTAAACTTATTTTCATGATTTTTGTAAGTTATGTTGTTACTGACCCTGTTAAATTTGTTAAATACAGTAAAAAAGGTAAGGAAAAAAACTTGAATTGAACTAAACAAAATTTTATGGTTTATTCTTGTAATTTGTTTACAGTTTCAGTTTCTAGTAAAAACAAACAAATAGTCTAAAATTTGATAAAAACATGATAAGGAAAAATTGGCATTGAAGATGAGCATTTCCACATGTCACTTTTTATTATTACTTAAGCATACAAAATAATAGGTGCCTCCTATTTGACCCACTTATTTTATTGTTTGGAGATTTGACTGTCTTTTTAATTAAAATAAATATGAGAAATCACTTTGTTGTACTTGCGTTTAGTCTGTCTGTCTAACCGGCATGGCAATGGTAGGCGCAAGCAAGTTAGCGACGTCAGACGGGGAAAATACTAGAGATCAAGTCAATACCATAACAAGTCCTACACCTATGACCAGAATGTCTGAATGGACTGATTCAAAACAAAACTAATGCCGTGTTTACACCAGAGTTAGGAACATGTGTTTGTTTACAAATATGTTCCTAAAAAACCAAGAAACACTTTTTTTACCGATGTTGGAAACAGTTTTTAGTGTTGATTTTTTGTTCCCCATCAGAATTCGGTAAAGATCAAAGGGTGTTCCAAACATGACTGAGGATACATTTGTTTTGGAATAAATGTTTCTGTACTTCTACGCTTTTAACAATACTACCTGCTACTCCCCGCGCCTATACCACGTGACTACACTCCGCGTCCCCTCCCCACAAGGACCAACCTCCGGGACGGTGATTAAATTATTTTTAACAAAATCAGAGATAAGTGCACTAACTGTTGAAAACTTTTGTTTTAGTTACTTTTAATTTTATAAAAATTAAATGCAGTCTATATGTGGCCAACTACCTTCAACATATTTATCTTTTGAACAAACATTTCTGATAAAGTAAAATATGATCAGATAATTAACTCTCTTCCTTACTCTGCATTCATAATTAAACGGTGAAATAGTAAATGTAATAATTTCTTTCATTAGTGCCTTGAACTAAGAGAATGTTCCGTGTGTGATAATGAACATGAAATAATAATTTGTTTTTGCCATTTAATCCACCAAAAGTGTAAATTTATTATGTTGTCTGCGGTTACATTGAAAAGGAATAATGATCAACAACAAATTGCTTCTAGACTTCCTCAATATCTAGCTGCTCTCATAGGTAAGTGTAGAAATAAATATACATATTGAAATAATTCATAGAGAAATTCTAGTGAGCATTTTAAAGTTTACTGGCATGTTAATGGTTCTAGGAATTAATTTAGCTTCCCTGGTGAATGTTGCCTTATTTCTCAATAAAATATTTAATGTACTATAGAGTTACTTAAAAGAATGTGTAGCTAAAATCTAGCTATGGGGATCCAGCAGTAGCAAGCAAACTTTTAGGATGGATTAACTAAAACAAAACTACTGGTTAAACTGTATAAAAGATTTAACTTTATGGACCAATTAAGCTAGGCAAATCATTTTATAAAGACTGACTACCAGCACATTTTATTGCATGAAAACAAATTTTACAAAACATCCAATCTTTAAAAACTAGTGTAATAGGAAAGTATTTCCAAACCTTTTCCTGGCGTACTCACAATTCAAAAATATTTTGCATACTATTTAGGCACTTGGTTTGGTAATAATACTATGGATGGAATGAGCGTATGATTATTTTTCCAAACAAACCAACCTTTCCCTGTCTCGAGAATAAATCCCCCCTTTTGGGGGACACTCAAAAATTCTAAAATCATAAAATGAAACGTCTTGCTAAGATTGCACGACCACCAAAAGGATATCTCTATATATTTACTTGGAAAAATATTAGAGGGGGGTCTTGACAATTCATTCACCCTGTATAGGTCCCATTATTTGTTTATTATCTGGTAACACTGTTTACAGCCAACCTTGGAGGGTTCATGGTTGGTAGCAGTCGAGGATGGACTTCGACGTCAGAGTACCCCTTGGTACATGAGCAACAATATGGCTTTTCCATAACTGCTTATGATTTCGCGTTGATTGGTTCAGCAGTTGCCGTAGGAAACTTCTTTGCCGCACCTTTTTTTGGTTACATTATGAGCAAGTTTGGACGTAAAAGGATGATGATGGCAATGTGTTTTCCTGCAGCTTTAGGTTACGCCTTGGTAACAATAGCCCACAGCGTAAGTGTAGAAATAAATACTAAACTAAATGAATATCCATTACAGACCATTTATTCTAGAAGCTGAATAACATATCATCTTCCGAACCCCACTGATAAATTGCCCTCAATTGTTTTGTAGTGTAGACATGAAACAATGTTTTCAGAAAAATACAATGCATAAAATAGGAACAGGTAACGCTAGACTCATATTCATCAAAAATTTAATTACTATTCTCTAGAAAAAAGCTGGATCATAACAAATGTTTAATTTAATTTAATAAGTAAACCATCTCCACAGCTGGAAATGACAAGTTGATAAATTCAATTTACCCCTTACCCTGTCCTATTCAAGTAGTTTCCCAAAATATTACTTTTTTTTTGTAATTTCCATAGAATCAGCATGTTTTGTTTGGACTCTAATGGTCAATCCTTTTCAAGGAAGCTTTAGAATAATTTTACTTTAAAATAAATAAAAAGCTTGTTTACATGGGATTTGTTTTAGTCTCGAATAGTTACTTCATTGTAGATGCTAAACTCCGGATTGCCAAACAATAAGGTTCAAATACCTGCTTTTAAGCAATCCATTAAATTGCAGTTGCAACTAGTTTCGACTCCTATGTGGAGCCATCATCAGAAGCAACCTTTGGATAGATCTGGCATATACAAGACCAATTGTACGAATTGTATTAAATAATTCATCGGCCGAAAACTAAATACTTCATCGCCTCCTTTACAAAACATTTCAAGGAACATCTTCCAAAAGCCCACCAAACTTCATCTTTTGCCGAACATTTAATTTCCGAAGGCCACAATTATATGAACATTAATAGTAACATGAATATTTTTAATTTTTCTAAAGACAGATTTAAATTAAACACCTTGGAAGAGTTTGAGATATAAGGGAGTAAAAACAAACCACCTAAATGCGTTAAATGATCAACTCTTGTTTACCAGTGGTGGCAATAGCGGGGAGGCCCGCGAGCCTTGACAGGGATTTTTCGGGAAGTTTACCAGGACACGGGCTCGCAATTGTGCGACAGGCTCAGCCACACGGGCCCCCTATCATAACAATATTTGTATGAGAACTACCATAAGTTTTTTTATGACAAAAATGTGTTAAAACCTGTAAGAGCACTAGGACAAGTAGTTTAATTACAACAGCTAAACTGACACTATTACTTGACCGATCAATTTAAATTCTCTACCATCCTAATTAATAGAATTGTCATCAGTCATGCAGGTTGTATCAACTTTTCTCGTGGGCTGTGTGAAGGCGCTATAATAGGACCGTATTTAGAACCAATGTGGCTCCCGGCCTAGGAGGATAAAACATTAATGTTAATCCTCCTAAAACCCGGCGGGTCACACCAGAGAGGGCCCTCTATGCTGATTCAACTATATGAACTTGTCAATTTTTTGCGATCAAATCGGCGAATTAACGGAGGTGACTAAGGCACTAGCTATTAAATAATTCTAATCTTTCATTGATGCTAAAGAAGGATTTTATTTCATATCATTTTATTTCTTACTATTAGAAGGCTGCACTTTATATTTGTTTACTTCGAGTCAGGTAAAAAATGTTACTTACCTATGGGCCTCGGGCCAAATCAGATCGGTTCAAACTCGGGTTGCTTTGGGAACTGTTGATTTTTATATAATTTCAATGTTCGAGCCGAGCAGAGCCTAGCCTAGCTTGAGAGATCAAGCACAAAGTCGGAAAATCAAGCTCAAGCATATTTTCTCAGTACTCAATACAATAATGCCCAATTATAAAAGTAAAAGCTTTTATGTTCGTAAGGATCACGCTCACAAAATTGAAAGATTAGGCCTACGCTTTTGCCGCGATCACGGATATCGACGAGAACATTTCTCCGCGGGTGACGATGACGATGTCTCAGCTGCCGTAGGAGATGTTCAATACTTTGCAGTGATTGCAGAAGGCGATAAAGACATTTCTTTTTCCAAAAGAGATATATCTAGGATTATGCCGCGATTGCGGAAAAAATTATTTCCCCGTCACGACGGGTCGTGGGAGATATTAGGGTGGTCCGTGAACGCGGGAGAAGATGACGTTGTTATCTGATGATGTCATAGGTTTGGTTGCAATGACGGTAGACTATGATAGGCTAATGTTTCTTCTATGACTACGGGAAGTATTCACGATTTTTCCGCGATCATGGAAGACGACGATGACGCCTCGGTGCCTCGAGAGATGACGTGCCAAGCTAAAGTGCAAGTTTAGGCGGTAATACATATGGTAATGTTTTTAAAGATTATTGGGAGAGGGGGGCCCTGCGAAAAAACTTGCTGGGGGGCCACGGGCTCTTATCGCCGCCACTGTTGTTTTCGTTGTCACTGCCATCAGGATACTGGAGAGGGGAGGGTGAAAGCAGGATTTTAACGCCTGATGATGGCTCCACATACGAGTCAAAACTAGTTGCGACTGCAATTTAATGCATTTAGCAGATATTTAAACCTCTTTTAATTAAAGAGTTATTTTTTGCAAAACTGTAGTTCAAAAGAAAATGCTTATTTTTAATACTGTGTAATTTGTCTTTTAGGTGAAAGCTATGTATATTGGCAGGCTTATGACGGGTATGTGTGTCGGAGGATATTTTATTATTGTTCCTCTCTACACGGCTGAAATAGCGGAGATTCAAATTAGAGGCACTTTGGGTGTGTTCTTTCAGGTTATGACCACTTCAGGCATACTATTCACTTATATTGTTGGAAGCTTGGTAAGTGAATGAATGAATGAATGAATGAATGAAATATATCTTTATTCTAACAAAATATTTAAAGAAATTATACACAAATATTTAAAG